AGGCCTCGAACCAACCAAGAAGCAGCAGTAATTACAGCAGCTGCGCAACCGCCAATCCACATCCTGATGGTCCACTTTTCGCCATCAAGCCAACTCATCCAGCCAAACAGAAAACCCCATCCAGGTCAAGAAAATTGAAAAATAACACGTCAGAAGAGTAATATAAGCATGGTTCCAGCTCAGCTCGGAGATAGACTGTGAGTCGCTCGGAGTCTGGGCTTCGGACTTGGCGATATGTGAAAGGTCGGGGGTATCGTCGTGGTGGTGGTGGTGGTGATGATGATGATAATGATGATATTGACACTCGAAATGACGGGAGTGAGTGTGTAGCAAGACTGAGAACCAAGCAGGAGACAGAGGAACCAGGAGCGAGGGAAACATCGGAAGAGGACAAAGCCCCCCTATATCAGCACCCAGATAGTGTCACTGAGGGACCCTGTCTTCTGCAATGTCTGCCTTCCTCCTAGCATGTGATACATTGGATAATAGGTTCGTTCTTTTTTCTCTCCATCGAATCGAAGTATTTTGGGCTATTTTCTGAGTCGTGATTTTATTATTTCTATCCTTGAATGTTTTTTTTGGGAGGGGGAAGCGATGCAGAGGTGGGATGGGGTCGTTGCGTGTTTCTCCCCGGGGGATCAGGTGCAGAGGAAGGGAAGCGAAGAAGTGGGTTGGGAAGCTGAAGTGTGTCGGATTCATGCGATCGGGCTGTTGAGGAAAAATGAAAAGGTGGGCTTAGTTGTCCGGCTGGCCCTTGAAGTAGGCCTTGGCCATCTCGTAGGAGGTCCTAGATAATTACGATCAGCGAAATGTTTCTCCAAGCGCTTGGTGCCGGATCGATCTCACCAGCAAATAGCGGTACTGGGCATGGTGGAAATAATGCGGGGGCGAGCGCCACGCAGGAAGCCCTTCCAGCCAAACTGCCGCTTAATGATGGCCGCCGCGTTGAAGAGACCCTTGGCCGAGCGGATTTCCTCGTTTTGCGCCAAACCCCGAGTTTGCAGCAGCGTCTTCACCACGTCGAGCGGGGTGGTCAGACCGGCCGCAAACGCACCCGCCAGACCACCGGCCATACAGTGCGTGAACGGGTCGTAATCCTGCGACGGGTTCATGATCTTGGAAATGGACTCGTAGGCGACAAACTGAGTGGCGGTGAAGGGGACGGTCATGCAGAGGGTGGTGGGATAGGAGACGTAGAATGCCTGGAAACCTTCCGTGCGGTAAACAGACCGGGCACATTGAAGGAGACTCTTATGTACCGAACCATGCACCTGCATACGCTGCTTGATCACTGCGCGGAGTCAGAGGCTGCTTTGCGAAGTCGAGCAGTCGCACAAAAACTCACCGTCAAAGGGATTCATCAAGGCATCGCTAGCGATAGTCGCAGAAGCACCGCTCAGAGCTAGTAATTTGGGGTCAGTCAGCCATCGCGCCCGTGTCGCTTCACATCTGCGGAAATTGCAACTCACCTGCCGCGACCGGGTGATGGCCGTCGTCGACATTACCACCCGCCATCTCCTTCACCATTTCATATGTTCCAAAGTACACGGCGTGAGCGGGACCTGTCCGACGGGAAAACACCAGTCAGTCATCTGTCGAGATTTCCGATCCTGCTGCTCTCGCTAATAACTCACCAGCGCCAACGATCACACTCGAGACACCCTTCCAGAGTGTCCGCCAGCCCTCGATCCGGTAAATCGTCGAAACCGCATTAGTCAAGCCTGTGTAGAGCCCTCCAGTCGTAGGATGCAAGATTTGCATGCGAGTCTGTCAAGGTGTTAGTCCTCCCAGCCAAGTTGAGATTCCTGCGCACTGCTTCTGCAAAATCGCGTTTGGTGCCACGACTCGCATGAGCCACATACCTTCAACAAGTCTACCGGATACATAACAGAGTGTTCCTAAAATAAGGACCCCCATGGTCAGCACACCCCAGCCACTTCGAAGATAAGTTTCTGCTCGTCCTAGCACGTACTGCAATTCCTGCAAAGGCGCCAGCCAACATATTGGCGCCTAAGCCGTAGTTGGAGGGGAGGGCTTCATAGCTGTTATCATCAGGCTGCGGTTAGCGGGTGGTCATTACAGAAAAAGGGTGTGCCGTTATTTCCTGGTCTCTGGCGATTCGTAGCCAAGCAGCGCAGTTCCAATTACGGAGTGTAGCGAAAACTGCGACCTAGAATGCCCCCCTCCGCAGATGTGTGTTGAGTCCACGGATGGTGGAGGGCATGGCCGACCAAGGCAGGGAAATGTGGACTGAAGAGCGGACAAGAACCACATACTCATATTCTTGCCCGGGGATCTGTTCGGGGACCGCCATTGAGCTCTTGAGGTTTTCTGAGCGTAGCGAGTGCTACGGTGCGACGAGATACGTGGGAGAAGAAAGGCGAAGCGAGCTCCGAGGGCGATCGAGGAGAGTTGGTTTCAAAGCTGTAGGCCTGAAAATGCCGACGCAGAAAAACGGACTTTGCGGAGCGGAGAGGGAAGGCCGATCCGGGCGGAGGGGACTGGGAAAGTGGGTATACCGGTAGGGAGAAAGAGAGGGCGTTTCTCGAGGAAATGTAAGGAGATGCAGAAGAGGGAGGAGAACAAAGAGATATTAAAAAGACCAGCCTCAACCCGAGTAAGTACGGGGAAGAATCAATGCGGTAGGGAAGATGAGGGGAGAAATGGAGAGAGGCAGGAAACGAAGAAATGCTGATAATTCTTGGGATGGTGAACCAAAAAAGTCCGCCTGCAGGTCGATAGCAGCAAGTATCCCGTACCGACTGGTTACCATTCTGACGGTATGGTACCTGACCCTTCCAGGCTAGACTGGGGCCAACTGGGACTCGGGAGCTACGACGAGGTATGAAAGCGGAATGTCCGGTAATGGTACGGTCAGGATCTGAAGGGGAGAGAGAGTCCGGCAGTGGGCCAAACTGATTTGGGAACCATGCTGATTCATGCAGTGTTTACAGTGTACCGTACACAGTAGGCGTACTATCATGCTAATATGCTTCCTGCAAGCTTGATCCTTAGTTATCACAGTAGCTGTGACTTCTGATTGTCCCTCGAGTCGATCATATCAGATAAGTGAGTAAATAGATGGATTGATATGGGTACAATTAGCCACGCGATTTCTCACTACAACTGTGCTTTGGGGAGCCCGATATAGGTAGGTACAATATCATCACATAGATTCGCATTGTCCTTCTCAATCAATTTTTCTTTTGTGTTTCTTCTTTCGTTCATCGCGACAGTCCTGATTTTCTCTCGGTATTATTCTCCCTCTCCCCGGTCGGGATCGCTGAATCAGCTACCCCGACCTAGAACAGGCTAGCCTCCCAAGCTTAGGCAATAATTTTACACCGAGGCATCTCGTCCCCAGTCCGATGACGGAGCTTTGCCCTCATGCCCACATGTCATGAACAGGCAGGCCCAGTTTGTCTGCTCAGGGCTGACAAACTGGGCCTGCCTCTTCTGAGCCACAAAGTCACAGATCTAACATCTCACCCTCCAAAGCACTTCCGCCACCTTTCCGGATTCCACTGTACTGAAAAGCTTTCTTTCCCATCTTCTCTACTGCCTCATGACCGATAGTGCCAGTGGTTAGTGGTAGAGCAGTCTATTCCAACCGCCGAACCGCGGAGGAATCATTCATTGGTGACCCGACAGCATCAAGCGGAATCCGTGGGTTCCACCGTCCACCAGTCCGTCCACCAGTTGGCTTTTCCCTCTCGGGGCTAGGCGTCCCCGATGATCCGAAAAGTGAAAAAAAAGGAAAGGACGGGAACCTTGAACCCGGGTTCCTTTGATTGTCGCTGTCTTATCTGATTGAGATTTCGGACATCCTCTTTCTTTAGTATGAATGAGTATACCCTCCCAACACCAGACAGACGACTCAAAGTCAAACCCTATACTCTCTACAGCCACTTAGTAAACGTACTATAGAAGCCCGTAAAGAAGTAGAGAGAGAGAGAGAAAAAAAAAACAAGAGGCCTGGTAAAGAAACTCAACAAGAAAAAAAAATAAATGATCCCCAATCAATCCCAACTTGATCATCTCCTACATCCTGCAGACTACTCCATCCAGAATCTAAGATCAATCCTGTCTGTCAGGACCCAGCTCAGCCGCGACAAAAGAAAAAGTGGGACATTCTATTCCAGAAGGGAAATGGAAGAATTAAAATCCATCAAATCGATGGATCAATTACCTAAACCATGGACCAAAAAAGGAGAGTCAAGACTTAGGACCCATCAGGATCGAAAAGTTCCGAGGAGATAGAAACACGGCACATGAAGCACCTGACTTACTGTCCAGTCTAGTTAGTTCAAGACTCAGTTCTTCTTCCCCGTCCCGCTTCCAGTGTGAGAGCTATTTACTTCCGGCACTATGATACTCACTAACAACTGCTCTTCTGTAGTTGTCGCCACTACGGGATAGAATGAGACGTGCACATCTAACAATTAAAACAAGAACTTGGTTCCAACCCGGCTTCATTCAGTACCCCTGGCCAAACATGTATACTTAGCTGTCTTTGTTTGTTTCATTCCAGCTAAACGAGAAGATTCCGAGACGCAGCATGTTAAATACCTCTTTCCCATGGAAAACAGTTTCAAGAAAATACACATGCTAAGAAGAGAGGTCGCCAATTTCAAGACAAATCAGAATATATAAATATAACATCCTCGCAACCATATCGGCTTGCCAATTCAAAAAAAAAAAAAAAGAACAGACTGTAATAACAAAATGAGGCGGCCAGTATCACATACATAGAGGATGAGTGCAAACAGAAAATGGTCTCGCCCTGTAAGTAGTCATGTGTAGAGATACATACAGTAAGGAACAATCGGGGTTGCGCCTGTCTGAGATAAACAAGAGATAAATATAAGTGTCGATGATGAAGGGAGAAAGAAAATCCATATGCGCTGGTTATTTGTCATGCACGTCGTGATTCCTTATGCTTGCTTCTAGTTGAACGGGAAGGGGGAGGAGGGGAAGGAGTTTAGTAGTATGTCTGTTCTCTACCAATCCACATTAAATGACCATTCTCCTGTTGATCGTCAGTGAACCATTCACCCCAAGTATGAAGAGAAAAAAAAAGGGAAGAACGTACCATTTTTCAAATTCTCTGCTGTGTCACTCAGCAAAATCACCCGCCGTTTGTTACAGTAAGCCGTTTTGTCCAAAATATCGACCTTCAGTTTTGCGAGCTCTGGTACCGGTTTCTCGAACATCTCACTCAGACTCTCCACGGCCATCTCTAGATCCTTCTGATTGTCCTCGAAGATCTCGGTCAGGTTGTTGCGCGCGAGGTAGTAGGCGAACGCATACGTCCACTTCAGGGTCTGTCGGCATTGTTGCAGTGCCTGCGATGCGGTGTCCAGAAACTGGACTTCGATCCACGAGAGACCGGATTGCGACTGAAGACTGGTCATCTTCTTCTCCGTCTTCAGGTACAGGTCCTTATCCAGCTTGGCCGACTGCTCGTGGTTGGCATATCGGTTGTAGTAGTGGAGGTACCGTTCCAGCGACTCCCGAGATCGCGCCTGCGCAGTGCGGGCCTCCGACCCGGATTTCTCCTCGTACCGGTTGCAGTTGTACCAGCTGGTGCCATGCTCCGACCACAGTCCCATACACATCCAGCAAAATTCATGCTTGCACTTTCGACACGTCATGTGGTTGCAGCCACCGTTCTTCTCGATCGTTGAATGGCATCTCGGACACTCTTTCGTGTTGGCGGAGATCCAGTTTGCGGTCTCGGAATCATCCTCGCACTTCTTCAGCCACATCTTGACCAGCATGCATGGTGCAGGCTGATGGTCGTTGAGTGTACATCCAAAACAGAAGTAGTGCTTACAGTCGCACTGGACTGTGGGCACAATGCGGCGCAGATCACGCTGCTTGATAGGACAATCCACCGCATATACACATTCCGGTGCAGGGCACCATTTGAGATTATCTTTGTCGTCGACGTACGTCCGCATGAGAAGAGCTTTGTATCTGCCAGAAAACATCAGCGTTGTGAGCAACATCCCCCTTGAAATCGGGTCCATCTTACCTTTCCCGTAGATCATCCGTCACAAGCAATCCCAATGATTTCGAGTCCACAATCATGTGACAGTCGTTGCCGGGACATTCGATCCGCGCTGCCTCACCCTCCCCGCGAATCTTCTGGGCCAGGTAGTGGCGATAGCAGTCAACGCAGAAGCGGTGCCCGCAGCGCATAGCATACGTCTCGAGCTCGTCGCCATCCTCGCAGCAAATCTCGCACATGAACCCGGATACCACCTCGGTCTTCGGCGTTCCCTCAAAGTTGGTCCCCAGGCCCGCCTCCTCCAGGGTCTCTTCCGGATGATCCATATACGATTCGATCAGCTTCTCGCGTTTCCACCGTCCGTACCGCAACAGGATAGCCGACGACTCTGGGGGCAGGCCGAGAATCGAGGAAACCTCGTTGATCTGCACATTCTGCTGCTGCTCGATATCGTCCGGGCTCAGGACTTTGAATTCTACCTCGTACGGCTTCCGTTTCGTCGCGATGATATCCTTGTCTTTGGAGAACCCGCCGTCAAATTCGTCACCGAAGTCTGTTTCCCCAGGAACAATACGGGTCAGTGTTACGATCGACGCACAATGCAGAAGAAGTGTAGGAGAGAGAGGGAGGGCATTAAGAGCTAGCATCATCACGTACCGTCGCCCAGACTCTCGACATCACTGCCTTGGGTGTCCAGAAAGTCATCGGGACTGGAACCGACGCTCATGAAATCCTCGTCGGACTCCATGCTGGTCGACGCAGGGGTAACGAGATCAGTCGCCTTCGACTTCTTCTTCCTCTTCTTCTCCTCCTCCTCCAACAGATCCGAGAGGCCGTTGGAGATCGCAGCAAGGGATTCGGTGTCGGGGTCCCGGTCGGTCGACTTGAGCTTTTTCCGGGTGGATTTGTCAGAAGAGCAGGGTGCGGTGGCGGCGGGCGCGAAGGCGACGTTAGTATCGGAGGAGGTGGTGGTGGCGGCTGTCGCTGCTGCTGTGGTCGCGTTGTCTACAAGCGTCGCCTCGGCCGCCTTTCTCTTTCTCGTGAGGGGAGGCGTGGTGAATATCTTTTTTGGCAGAGTCCGTTGGCAAGCCGGGGTATGTGTTGACACGAAAAAAAAAGTCGGTCTCGAGATGGTTGGTCGAGACCTTCCTTTTTTACCGGGGCAACACAGTCACAGCCTACCAAGGAATCAGGGTGAGGTAAATTTTCCGGATCCGAAGGATGGGATGGAATGGAAAGGATGGAGTCCGTGTTGGGGATTCGTGCAGGGTTAGTTCTCAATATGATTGATGCCAATCTGGAGAGGGGTGGAGGAAAGGGGAAAGAAGGAGAAGAAGGATGTGGTAGTGGTGGTAGTCAGGGTGGGTGAGTGGATGAGTGGATGAGTGGGTGTCACTAAGGGAGCGGATGGACGTCACGGGAGAGTGAGAGGGAGGGGAGAGAATGAGATGATGTGGGGGCAGATCACTTGGTCCGACCGCCTTGACTCGCTCGCTCTCTCTGCTCAGCTCCTTCGGAAAACTACCGCTCACAACAGACAATACAACTCGTCAGTCGTCAGTCCTCGTCAGACTTATAACAAAAAATGATGAATAGCAAATTCATGCAACTATAAATCTGTCACCTCAGGGTGCGAAACTTGCGAGCTCCAAACTCAGGTCAGGAGAAAGGAGAGAGAACACAGCTGACATCAAAAAAGGGATTATATATGTCACCTTGAGGCTCCAGAGTGGGGACAGATGCAGGCTGCAGAGCCATTCAGCCTAGTTACTGACCCCGTACCACCTACACCCCCTGGCATATCAATTTTAATTGGGATGGGGGGGAGGTGATATTTTCGAGTTGAATATGTCGCAAGTCGAATAACCTCAGCTACACACCCCGTTTTTCCAGAGGAAATGATGCATCCCATAGCTAAAATCTACTCTCCACGTAGCATCTGACCGCTAAATTTGTAGTCTAGTATTCCAGGCACCCAGGCACCCAGGCACCCAGAGGTATATCATCGTTGATCAACAATCGATCATGATCGTAGCTTGGATTTTGAAAGCAGTCTATATACCACAGTCTAGGTCATTCATTCAGTCGTCATCTTCCTCCTCCTCGCTCTCTTCCTCTTCGCTGCTCTCCTCTTCCTCAGCATTAGCCAGCCAGTCAACAAACTGCTGTGCCTGGCTGCGCACTTGTCGCATCTCCTCGGTGCTGCTCGAGCGCTCATCGTCCCACCATTGCTCGTAGGCTTCCTCGTCAATGATTTCCAAGTCGTACAGTTCCTTAGCGATGAACAGGAGAACCGTATCGCCACGGCTGCGGTGCACCAAGTCCTGCTGAAGGAGGACAAGCAGGTCAACCTGGTCGGGCTTGTCTTCACGCTCGCGGTCGAACAAGGCCCGCTCGACGATTTCCCGGTACTTGCCGAAGATCTCTCGGACCGCCTCTCCGGCACCCTTTCCACCTTCCATCAACTGCGCCACCCGCTTCATGAACGCGGAGACTACGGCGCGGCGAACCTGGTGGTCCGAGGCATTGGCCGTCATACGCAGACTGACCAGTTCCAGCTGAACCACATCCGACGTGACGCCTTCCCGCAAACTGTCATAGACGCTGGCCGCAGCATCGTGTACAAAGTGGTCCGAATCTTCATCATCGGACATCGTAGTGCTAAAGCTTCCAGAGCGGGAGCCGCCAAAGTCGGAAATCTCTGATGAAAGTGTGGAGATGGAGTCGGTGGATAGCGAGAGATGTGCCATATTGTAGACTGCAGGTATGCGGTTAGCAAGCAATGGTCTGAATCAAGCGATGAACCGGAGGGAAAGTACTTACTCAATCCTGACGAGGCGTTACTGGCTGTGTCATCCTCATCCTCATCTTCGTAGGGCACATATTCGTAACCCGTACCCCCTTCACCGACAATCTCAGGCTCGCTAGTGGGTACACCGTCGTCCTCATCTCTGGGTGCTTTCGTGATGCGCAGTCCCTCGGTAACCTTAATCCCGTCGGCAATTTCCACGCCAAAAGAAATGAGAGCACCGGGCTCGACGGTACAGTTCTTTCCAACGACTGCCCGGTCGGCAACGATGGCTTGTCTGACTGTCGTTCCATCACCGATAACAGCACCGTCCCAGATGTAGGCACCTTCCAAGGTGACATTCTTGCCAATCTTGCAGTCCCGGCCGAGAACTGTATCCTTGACCGTCGTCTTGTCCCCGATACTCGTTCCCTGGCCGATAACCGTTCGGCGGCCGATGACACACGAGCGGGCCAGAGTCACGCCCTGTTCCTGGTACAGGCTTCCCTTGCGGAGCTCGTAGTTGTGGCCGGGAAGCAGGTTGGTGTCGGGGCAAAGAGGATACGTCCATCGGGAGATAATATCCTTGCTGATAGCATCGTACGCCTTCAGGTTCCTCACGCGGGCCGCATAGTGGTCCTTGATGATGTGCGTGTGAATCGTCTTGCCGTTCAGCTCGTAGTCTTTCAACACACCGAACAAGAATTGCTTGCGCGGCGCCTGGTAATCGAAGCTGTCGGACCAGAGACTCAGCACATCAGGCGTGCAGATATCGATGTTGCAGTCGATCAGGTCCTGGCGCAAGTCAATTTCCTGGTGTGAGGTGATGATTTCCGGTTCGATGTTGAGGCGCGTGGAATCGGGGTTGTGTTGGTCAATCTCCTCGTAGTGCAGACAACGATCCTTGGTCGGGTCGATCACAAAGACGGGAGACACGGAAGAGGCCTTGGTTCGGTGGTTGCGGCCGGCTTCCCGCAGGATCATAGTCATGATCGCATTCTTGTCGGCTTCGCGACGAGCACGGTGCTTGGCCAAGGCGCCTTCGATCGGCAGGTTGCTGATGACATCGCCGCTGACAACGATGAAATCTCCGGTAATCAGGTGCTTGCCATCCAGATCACGCATGACATCTCCGACCGAGGTTGACGTCGACTTGAGGAAAGTCAGCTGCTTGAAGGGCGACGAGGGCGCTCTCCACTTCGACGCACTATCCAACGCCTCTTTGTCAGCTTCACAACATCAATCCCAACAGACACGCGAAAATGCGCCAGCCTTCCCCAAAATTTGATCCACGTACTTGATATATCTCTCCAGCTGATCCGAATGCGCACCACCGTAGAGGAAGACATCCTCGACACCCGCATTAGCAAGGAACTCAAGGGTATATTCGATGAGAGGCGTGTTCGCGAGCGTCAGGAGACACTATATCCTCCCCCAGCGTGTGTTAGCCCACGTATACCCATGATTCCATTGCCTTTCCCGCCAGACTTTCCAAACACAGCACACAACGTACCCGAGGTCTTTCCAGAGTGAAGGGCTCAAATCTCGTCTCGAAGGTATCCGCAAGCACCTAATCACAAACCACCAGAATGATCAGCCAAAATTCAAGCTTCGATGCCCGAGCCAGCCGGCCGGGATCTCCTCATGGATAACGTTTTCATGGAAACCAAACATACCACCGCCTGGAGCGTCTCCTCTACCGTCTCCGCAGCATTTCCCCTCTGCTTCGGTGCGCCACCTTTCTTCGGACCCATCTGAAGTAGCCGTGTCTCAGCATGATTTCATTCGCGGCTCGGAAGGAGAGATTGAGCCCTGCGGACACAAAAGAGCACAAACTCACATTGGATAATCTCAGAAGTATGAACTAAGGCTTTTCTTCTGGCAACTTTTGTATATTTTGACTCTACCCAGCCTTTACCCAAGCGAGTAAAGAGTCTCCTCCGGAGCTGAGAGAAAGTTCGTAAATTCGAAGATGAAGCTCACGGGGGTGATGCCGACGCAAAGTGACAACCGCGTTGGAGAGAGAGAGTCGCAAAATCTCCGCCAAGCCTTTGTCCCTCCGTCGGAGTCAGACTTCATCCCACCTTGCGACATGTTTGCTTTGTTTGCCGAAGCTCATTGCTGTCGCTAGTGGTCACGTGAGATACTGTGTCATGTGACTGGATAGCCCTCAGCCACAGCTGCTAACCGCAGTTGGGAGTTGTCGAGTCCAGAACGTCATCCACGGTCTGGGCCCTCCTGGACTCGAAGGAATCCCCCTTGTTCAGGAACCGTGGGTCTAGAACTCAAGCTGTCATAATTTAGCTGATGAACGCTCGATCGGGGGGCCGCTGAAAGCTTGGGTTGCGGTGGGCGAGGATCAGATCTGCCCCTCTGAGGGCCGAATGAGTCTAAAAGTGGTGTCCACGGTACTGTAGGTGTATCCATTTTTGGTAGCTTACGTGTGCTGTACGGACTTAACTGAAACAACATTTCCTGGATTGGAAATTAACTCAAAATTAACTCAATCGACTGCTTTATGGAAAGAAGCTCTATGGTATTGATGCACAGGATTGCTGTTGTATGTATCTTGAATCACAAATCTTCTTGAAGCAGCTTTTCTGCAACTTCGATAAGATAACAAAGACTTAGAGAGAAATCGCCTGCACCCCACAATGGGATTACACAAATGCCAGCGCCTCAACGATCCACAAAACTGATAATACGTACAAAAAGATGATACTAATGCTGCCAGTCCGTGGGCCTGTGAACGGGCCCACGAACCTGGATGCCAGGAAACAGAGACCTTCAGAACTAGCCCAGTCACCCTATACGAATAACAACCGACCAGCTTTGCCGCAAGCGGGTCCCCAAATCAAATGCAAATGATAAGACGCGCCCCGACACCGTGATATATCGTATAATTCCAAACGGGACAGAAATGTAGCACAACTCCTAAATGTCACAACAAGGTATGGTTCAATGACCATCGCAAAAAGGTTATGGAAACTCATGGAATGGAGAGCTCGAGGATGGGATGTTCAACGAGCGGAGAGATGAAAAGGTAGATGAATGGAATCTAGGGCCACCGCTATTGCAAAAGGGGAGGTGGGAGTGGTGAGGAGTAATACAAAGATAGCCGCACGTCAGCTAGCCAGTTCGTGTGGCCTGCATGGAACTGACGATAGGCTGGCTTGGATGTGCGTACATCCGCGGCCTCTTGGCCATGCCCGGGTTTTCACCCGCACTCGACATTTCTGAAAGTTGCCGTCGTACCTGTGGCCGAGCAGCGGGTGCTGCTGGGGCAAGGGCCACAGCGGGAGTGGCATATTGAACGCCGTTTTGATCAACGGCGTATGCAGCGGGACCCGGGGTCGTGGGAACATACTGACTCGGGACAGGCTGCATGCTATGAGGTACAGCGGCCATGCCTTGGTACTGGCCCGGTGACTGCCAGTTGTTCACCGATGTTGCCGGTGACTGGCCTGGAGAGCTATCCTCTTTGATCGAATGTGCGGCGGAGCTCTGAGCAGCCATCGTGACAGGAACGGCTGGCTGAGGAGTTTCTATATTCTGCGATGCGACTTTCAAATGGGACAAGTGCTTCTCAAGCATATCGAGAAGACTCTTTCGCGTGAATGGTTTGGGAAGGACATCGTCCATGCCTAATTCAGGTCAGTCTACTTTGGTACTGTAATGAGCGGGAGATCGAGAGAAATGACGTACCATGCTGGAAATAGAGCTGGATATCGTCACTCCTGATATTGGAGGTCATGGCTATGATAGGAGTCCTATCAAACTGGCGGATGAGATGCGTTGCGGAGACACCATCTAGATTAGGCATAATGATATCCATGAGAATCAAATCATATCCAGGGTTGGCCTGGGCTTTCGTCACGGCCTCTAATCCATCGAGCTGGGAGCCAAGTCAGCGTTGATTACGAGAAGGAAGTTTTGCGAGAAGCATACCGCGGTATCGATGATACAAGAGAATGAGTATAAGAATTTTCCGCCGATCTGACGACACGTCTGATCGTCTTCCACAAGCAAGATACGAGGGCTGCGGGCCCAGCCAGGATCGACATTTGCGCTCTTCTTGCGGTTGTCGGGAACTTGTTGAACCTGTTGTACTTGCTGGACTTGCTGAACCTGTTGAACCTGCTGAACTTGTTGTCTCCGAGAGTCGTCGACCTCTTGTTTCGGCATTGGGTAAGGAACATTCTTGACATGCTCGCCGTACATGGGGTCAATGCCATTGGTCGCACCAACGGGATAAACCACGGGCTCGACGTCACCGTTCATCTTCGAGTACACCAATGCTGGGTTTGCTGCCGCAGCAGGTGCGCGCACCACGCCATTGCGTGAGGCGCCATCCATGCCAGGGGCAGGTACAACCGCCCCGGCAGCCTTGGACGGATCAGCAACCCCGTCGAGGCCGACGAGGTTAAACTGAATCTCCGCGTTCATATCATTCAAGAGTTTGGTGGCCTGCTGCAAGGGCGAAGAAGGCTCGTCGTCCATTGTAGCCACCTGGGAAGGGCTGAGGGTCGAGCCTGCTTGACCCTGGGCCTGGAAAGACGCAGCCGCCTTGCTGTCCCGCCGCTGACGGGCGTCGACGGAGAGTAGGTAGTTCATGACCTGGTGAATGACACTTTCGTGGTTGAGGACCGTTTTCTGGACTCGCATCACTTCCTGCAACATCAACTGATGATCGACAGTCAGTTGCGCATAGCGGTCTGACAAGTGCTGGATCTGTTGTTGCTGTGCCACGATCTGTTGGTTCAAGAGATCGATCTGTTGTGTGGGGACTGAGTCGTCGGCGGTCTGGGTCTGTTTGCGCGGGGCGGGAGCCTTCCGGCGGATGTTGTCGAGCGAATCCTTGCTGTTCGCTCTGAACTCGGGATGCTTAAATTCCCACGCCTGCAAATCCAATTAGGATAAAACTAGCTTCCGCTGCGCATCGCTGCACCACTTACGTTTTGCCCATAAGGCGACTGTCCATTCTCCTCGTTGTTCTGCCTCACTTTGTGGAAATCGTACTTGTTGAGTTGTCGCACGAAACTGGCAAAGTTGCTGTGTTTGAAGTGCTTCGGCAGAATAGTCTTTGTGAATTTCTCGCACTAAGACGAACGCAATTAGTCAAAGGGTTTGCGAGCGCGGGGGAAGTTGCGAGGTGCGAAACACGGTACCTCCAAGACGACGAAGCTGTCTCCTTCATCACCCCATCGCACAATTTCCGCATAGGACGGGTCCTCCAGCATCCTTTAGAGAACGTCAGTATGCATGTTAAAAGTGATATAACCGATCGTCGACACTGATTTGGCGCAGAGGTGGAATAGAGGGCTAAGGGGGGGCGAGGCGTCGGGGAGGAGGACAGGGTTGGATGAGAGGCGAAAAGCGACGATCAAGGAACGGGAGAAGCAAATAGAGACTCACTTGTAGAGTTTCCGTACCTGAGCATGATGGTTAGCAACTGAAACATATAGTAAAATAATACGATAGAACAATGTTCTCGATTATGGGTTTCACGAAGATCACGACGAAGACTTACAAAATCGCTGGAGTTGCCGGCAGGGGCGGCGCTGGTCGAGGTCTGGCCACCGTCCATCATGGGCTAGATGGGTCGCGACCGATCGAACAAGCAACAGGCTCAACACACGTCGCAGCGACCGGGAAGGAAAGGGAACCAGTCGGGCGCTCGATTCAAAGATCACAAAGAAGTAAGTAATATGACTATCGGCGACGAGCCGAGAATAAAAATAAATAATAGGAATAGAAAAAAAAAAAATGAAAGACACAATCAAGACAGAGGAAAGAAGAAGAAAGGGAGAAGGGAAAAAAATAAAAAAAGAGGAATGGGGAGGGGGGGTGGTGGGTGTGGGTAAGGCAAGAGAAGGGGAAAAAGAGAATAGTAGTAGCATGGACTGGACTGGAAACTCGACTTTAGACCCTCCGTCCGAGTGGCCGAATGGGCGCGCAACAGATGGATTAAGTGGTGTGGTGGAGGTAAGTTGAAGGGAGTGAGTGTGCCAGTCTGGTAGGAATTGGGAATGGAGATCAATTACCATTAGTTAATCCGATGGAGTTTTAGTTTGAAGGTGGGGACTGGGTTGTGGCAGACTGGCAATCAGTCTGGCAGTCAGTCTAGCAGTCAGTCTGGCAGTCAATTCAGTCTTTAGGAAGAGGAAGAAGAGGAGGGGATGATTGTTTTTGGGGTTGGAACCATTGACTTGATTTGGCCGGGCGGCGGCGGGCGGCGTTGGCTTGGTAGAGTTGTACCGTACCGTACCTTGAGAGTTGAAGGTGTCTTTGATGTCTAAGAAGGGGAAAATAATTAATTCGATTTATATATTTATCTTATTTTTTTTTCTTTATCTTGGTACTCGAAAAGATCATCATTATCGTCACCATCATCTTCTATACTACCCGCTCGACCGCTGGATGTGCTGTTTCACCATTTGGCAATGTATACCTCGCCAGTAGACTTTTTGTTGTAGTAGTTCATTCAATGTAGTAGCCTGGAAAGTGGATTGCCCCAAGAGTAACAGGCAGTCACTAACTCATTAGTAAGTAGTACTGGTTAGTAGTGTGGTCACTAGCCACAACATCCGATGGTCAGGTAGTCATTCAGACTATTGACTATTGAAGTCCTTGACAATGTGCTGTATTCTTATAAACTACTTCCCTTCGCTTGAATGCGCTATCGTAGACATTACCAAAAGATAACATCGTTGCGATCATTTGCATTGTTTTCAACTTCCCCCCTCTCGCCCTCTCCTGCGTATTTGCCAGGCTTTGATATGCCCGAAATGGCTTGGATTCCTTTCCCCCCCAAAGCAAGGAGATAGGAGGGGTAGACAGGAATTCTAACCCTCACTAAAATTTTAGAGCCTCGGAGCTAACGAAGGACAACTCAAGATGGGCCAACCCAACTGGGACTCTCTTAACACACGAGACAACGTCACTGGACAGAAGAAAGAGACAAAACCAGGATTGGGAGAGAAGATCACGAAAGTAGTCGGAAGGGGAAAAGGAAAAATAAATACCTGAAGCCCGCGATTTGGCGAGCAATTCTGGCGGGAAAGCCGGTTGGAAGCTGTCAGTGCGCCTGAACGGTTGCAGACAAGCTGCATGGAAAGGATGGGCAGGATGGGGGGGGTGACATGGAGATAGGCTGGTGCCGCAGGGAGGGGCCGTTAACCTGTGCGTCCACGATCACCTGGGCAGAAATCAAGACTGCCTTTACTGGTGTCTCGTTTCGGCTCCGACAAATGATTGCCTAGTACCGTCTGGAGGATGAGAAGAGGGGGGGGAAATCTCAGACAGTTTGTTAGGCTCGAAGCTAGGAATGCGATAGCATCAGCCATGAGAATGAGCGAAATATTCAACCTTCTCGGTAGATTAAGTACCGGTAAGTAGTTCAGTCCCTCTCCCGTCTCTCCTGTCTCTTTTTCACCCACCTCCATTATGATCATCAAACAATGATGGAGATCGGGGATCCATTCAGTGAGGGGAGGTTCACGGGATTCGGCAACGGCTGCCGATCCCTCACTGAACCTCGCTGAGTAATAATTCGATAGCCGACAGGGCCAGAGAAGGAGAAGTAGAAGGGAAGATCAGACAGAACCGTGCAATACCTGATTTGAGCCAATGATTGTGATCGATGACTCTCATGAATTGCCACTATCACAGCTGGTTAGCCAGTTCAATAACAAACACAGACTTAAAGTACTATGAGTCCGGTAAATGAAGCTATGGCCTCATCATGCACGCACTAGTCCGGGGTACTTGTTTTCTTATGGTCCCCATGGCGGCATGGCCCAGCGGTTTAATATAAAACGGTACCCGACTGCTTGGTCTCCCGCAGACTTGACTTCTCTCGGACTCGCCAACGGACATGGAAGACTGGGGAACAGAAATGCATTTTGTCCCGTCCAGCCTAGCCACCAGCTAAGTTCGCTATGAGTTGGGTGGGTTGCGGCCCAGAGTTCGAGACTCATCGCACGGAGAAAGCCACTTGAATGTGCTGCACCCTTGCAGTCCGATATACTGAAGACAATGCAGGGCAAATCAATCATGAAACCGGAAATTGAACTGTCATCTTCCAAAGATCCAGCCCGGTCGATGAGGGTCCAATGCCTGCTCGGGTCAGCTTAATCTAGCTCAGGCAAATTGTATGCAGCTTTCTTCCAATCCGAGGATTGAGCCATCCTCCTCTATACATGCCGCGTAGAGACAACAACACAACATCAGTATCCCGCCCGTCTGCATAGCATACGAATTTGAGGCGGAAGACCTTCAAAGCGAAGCGAGGAAAACCTCACCTGAATCTGGTTTCTCGTCCTCGATCAAGGTTAAATCATTGGCACAATTCTTTTGTCTCATGGAATAGAGATGCACGTTTTGACAGTGAGTGAAGTCGGTTGACGTCCGGGCGCGATGCAGGCGGAAGCGACCATGACGAAATAATGTTCCGGGTGATTGGGGAGCTGCCCGGTCCACTCACTCACTCACTCCCCAAGCTCTCTCCCTCAGGAACAATTCCCTCCAATTCCTTCATCCCCTCTCTCTCTCTTCCCCCTCTTTTTTTCGACAAACTTTGTACCTCAACTCTGTTCAGGGGTAGTGGCAAACTTGAAACATCAAATCCAAAGCAATCTCTTCCCCGCAATATATCCTCTTCCCAAGTTCCACCTCATTAGTCAATTCATCACAATGTTCGCCGCTCGCCGTTTGACCGCTGGCGTTCCTCGCGTCCTGTCCCAGAGGGCGCTTTTCCATAACACCGCCCCGGCGTTTGTTCAGAAGGGCGATGCCATCCCCGATCTCGATGTCCTGGTCGAGAACTCCCCCGGCAACAAAGTCAACCTCGCCAAGGAGCTGAAGGGCAAGGGAGTCATCATTGGTGTCCCCGCCGCTTTCAGTATGTGTCATTCCCGGTTTTGCGCCTGAAACCTTGCTAGCCACGCATGACTTCCTCTGGCTTCATCCCCCAAATTGAGTTCAGAGCTAGTCATCTGCAGCATGGCTACCATACATACGATGTCGGATCGGAGGAACGATATTGACCGGTCGTGTGTAGGCCCCGCTTGCTCCAGCACCCACGTGCCCGGCTACATCAACCACCCCAAGCTGAAGGAGGCTGGCCAGGTGTTTGTCGTTGCCGTCAATGATCCTTTTGTGTAAGTCAGCGGTTTGGTGAGGTTTGGATAGTAAACTAATTCCGCGCGCAGGACCAAGGCCTGGGGCGAGTCTCTCGATGCCTCTGGCAAGAGCGGCGTAAGTACACACACATTATGTTTTCTAGGCATGTCAAACAGACCAACTAAATCTTGAGTGTCAGATCCGGTTCCTCGGTGACCCTACTGGCAAGTTCTCCGACGCACTTGATGTTACCTTCGACAGCGCCTCCATCTTCGGAAACAACCGCAGCAAGCGCTACGCGCTGGTTGTCGAGAACGGCAAGGTCAAGGAGGCCTTCGTGGAGCCCGACAACATCGGCGTCAACGGTATGTGCCCACTACAGTCTTTCACACGCATTATCCTCCGATTGCTGATGTGTTATGTACAGTCTCCGCGGCTGAGAAGGTGCTGGGTTAAGCGAGCCGAACGGCGTGACGCGGGCAATCTATTCTGTAACTATAGAAATCTGTTATACATGCGAAAAACCGTATAATATTTATTCATTATCAGATTCTTTCTCGCAACCATAGCAGAACTTTAGACATGGCCGGCAGTGTGCAAAGCCTCTCAGCACATGGAACACCCCTTCTCTCCAACGCCCACAGATTATGATAGCCTTGTACAAGATTCTACCCTTGTACGTGTTGATGGAGACCCAAAATATAAACCTTCCATCGCCGATGATTGCCCGTAGTCTCTCGGCTGCAACACAACGTCTCAAACAGGGAGAAGCATTCTCAGCCCTGGTGCAGAGCCTGCCACTGCTCGGGGGTGTAGCACTTGGGCGTCCAAGCATGGATAGCAGCGATCTCGGCCTTGAGGACCGAGTTTACCAAGCGGTGACGGGCGAGCATGGTCTTCTTATCGAACTGGGGAGAGACAATGACCGCCTGGAAAGCCTGGCCACAGCCACCTATATAGAAGAAAAAGTGGTCAATATTTCGACGTTCATTATCGATCCAAGAAGCACAGCACAAATGTATCCCACACGCGGGAAACGCAGCAGAATTAATCAGCAACAAAGTTGACCCGACCTACCCGACAGATCTTCAATCTCCACGTGTTGCGCCTGGAGCTGGTCAAAGAGCTTGCTCTTCAGCAAGTCGGCGGTGACACCGGAGGTCGCATCGGCCATGGCTGCGTGGATGGCGGAGAAGGAGCGCGCGGAGAGGGAAAAAGTCGACTTCGGTGGGAGGCCCGGAGTGCGGAGAAGATAGCGGCAACTTCTGCTCAGCGAGGAGAAGGTGGTGCGGGAGTACATCAAGTAGTGCTTTGTGAAGGAGGGGAAGAAGGGAGAGGGGAGAGAAGTGTCGAGAAGGAGGAGTGCTGTGGTTGTTGTTGATTGTTATTAGGTAAAAAAGAAAAAAAAGATACTCCGTCGAGACTATGATGTGTTGCGCGATGGGATGAATATGATGCAGTTGGGGCTATTTTTTTGGCTGTAAACTTCGCGCGCGGGCGGTGATGCTTCTTCCGATGTAGGATGACGGAACCTCCATTGAAACTAAGGGAAGGGCTTCTCTGCATTGCGATATTGGTCAGCGAATCCCGGCTGTGGCTGGTGTGGGAGACTAGTATGCATTTGGGGTTTACTTTACGTCTGTGCGGTTGTGGCGTAAGCTCATCCTCGGCTTCTGGCGAGATTAATCCTCTTCTTAACTCCTCTAGCTTCATTGATCTAGAACAAAGGGAAGACATCGTGAACAAGCTCAATCTAGGTCATATCAAGAAGCAACACCCACCGAAACGTCCAGATACTTACTTCGACTCGCACAGTGTCTATGAACTCTCTGTTTCGGCGATCGTCTCGTCTTTATTCCACAATGGCTGCTTCTTCGAACCCCGCCTCATCGCCCTTCACCCAGGCTGTCGTGAGCTCCATGAGGAAGCTGTATGTGATCTCGTCTCGGGCGCTGGATATGCACACCCCGTTCTCTGACACTAATTATTCTTCCCATAGCTATCCTGAGTCGTTGGCCGACAAAAGCTGGGACAACACTGGCCGTGAGCTCCCTCCGCCAGCCTCATCCCCACGCTCCCTCCATCCACTAATAGTACCGACGATGCAGTACTCCTCGAGGCTCCCTTCAACGCATCGCGCCGCCAGAAGAACTCCGTTCTCCTGGCAATTGACCTCACCAAAGCCGTCGCCGACGAGGCCATTGCACGCCGCGACTCCATCGTCGTAGCCTACCGTACGCTTTTCTCTATCCGGCCCTGCATCCATTCCACCTCAAAACTAACCACCTTCCCTTGTTTCGCGCAAACATACAGACCCTATCATCTTCCGCGGCCTCAAATCCCTGACCTTCACGGACCCACAACAACAGACCCTCCTCCGCCTGGCCTCCGAAGGCATCAGCGTGTACTCGCCGCACACGGCGATCGACGCGACCCCGGGGGGCATGGCCGACTGGCTGTGCGATATCGTGACCGGCGCCATCACACCCACCACCCCGACAAAACCCACCTTGACACACTCCTCATCCGCCACGTACTCCCACCCAGTCTACCCCACCCCGCAACCGGCCACCCAGGCAACCAAAATCCCCAAGCACACCCGCCATACCATCCTCCCGTCCCCGCCGCCACTCCCCGAAGGCGTCGAGGACACGGCTGGCATGGGCCGCATCGTGACCTTCACGGACCCGGAACCGCTGACTGCCATCATCGACCGCATCGCGCAGGGCGTCGGGTTCCCCGGCGGGATCCCCATCGCCATCCCGCAGGGTGCCTCGGTGGATGAGCTGAAGATCCGCACGGTGGGCGTGTGCCCCGGCTCCGGGTCCGGCGTGCTGATGAAGAAATCCCCAATCCCCGATCTGCTGTTCACGGGCGAGCTGAGCCACCACGAGGCGCTGGCGGCCATCGAGCGCGGGTCGGTGGTCGTGGCGCTGGCGCATTCGAACACCGAGCGCGGGTACCTGCGGGCCGTGATGCGGGAGAAGTTGGCTAAGGAGGTGGAGGAGACCTGGCGGGTGCGGAGGGAGGAAGGGCTGCAGCAGCAGAAGGATGCGGAGGAGGGGTTGAAGGAGGTGTTTGCCGATGATTCGTGCGAGGTGGCGGTCAGTGAGAAGGATCGGGATCCGTATGGGATTATGGTGAGACAGGGTTCGAGCTCTTGAAGAAAACTCATGTGGTGGGGACTTGGGTGGAAATGAGCATGAGATAGCTTCGTGTAAGTTAGGTCTCTTGCCGAAAGAGAATATAATAGTACCCGCATCAACAAACGTATATATCTATTTACAATTCCAACAAGTCAAACCAGAATGTAAGTACATTAACACATATATACAATACCACACCCCACACACACACCTTCTCAAAAAGTATCTACTAGCTCAGCAAAACCCGGATCTCGCCCGTCGTCCGAGGGAACAACTTCCTCAAGCCCCATTCCTTCTCATCCTCCCCGTCCTCCTCCTCTGCATCCTCCCCACCTTCGACTACACCCTTCTTCTCCGCCCCATCCACACCTTCATCCCCATGACCACCACCATTGGCCAACGAGCTCCTCCGCGCCTCATCCGCCCCGATAATCATCCCCTCGACGAACTCAAAGTCGCGACAGAACGCCTCGACCGCCTCCTCGGTCACGCTCTTCACGAACGTCGCGCTCTGCACCCGCTTCAGATGATCCGTGGCGTCCATGAGCGCCGACGGCAGGAAATCGTCGAGCTGTTGGCTGGTGAGGACGAGAGCGTCGGGCTGGAAGGCGGGTAGGGTGGTGATCTGTGCGATATCTGAGAGTTGGGGCTGCTGCTGCTGCTGCTGTTGGGCTTGTTGGTTGGCTGGGTCGGTGGGCTTGGGGGCGGCGGACGGAGGAGAGAAGGGTTCCAGGGCTGTGAGGAGAGTCTGGAGGCCGGATTCGGTGAGGAGGTAGTTGTGTTGAATGGCGAGGAGGTCCATGCGCAGGGCGGAGAGGGCCGCGCTGAGGGGTGGGAGGTGGGTTGCGCTGGCGAAGGGGTACGGGGTGAGGGTTGCGCGGGTGGCGAGATGGATGTTCGTGAGGTAGATGGTTCGTGGGGTGGGAGGGAGGTCCTGGGCTGTGGATTTGGCGAGGTCGAGGAATGGGTCCAAGGCACAGCGGAGCACCGGGGTGAATCTGTTGGGCGTGGGTTCTTGGGTGCTGTTGTTGTTGTCGGTGGGGGAGGAGGGTAGTTCCTCTGCGCCGAAGGAGATGTCGTGCGATTTCATGAGAAGGGTGAGCGATTCTAGGGCGTCTTGGATGAATTGCGGGGGCGAAAGATCGCCTGGCGGGGTGAGGGCCGAGTGGTCGGTCGAAAGGCTGCCGACTTCCTCCTGCATGAGCGTTTCGAAGTGGTGGAAGGTGAATCTCTCCAGTGTTTCGAGGAGCTCGGCCAGATTGGATTGAGATCCAAGGAGTTTCGCGAAGGTGGTTCGGTAGAAGGAGAGGAGGTTGACCACCTTGTAGCACGTAACGGGGTCATCGTGGCCTTGGATGACCAATTCAACTCGCTGGCGAAGGGCCCGTGAGACGCCGACCAGGTCACGGTTGACGAGATCACTGAGGGCTTTCTGTCCGTCGAAGGTGACTTCTTGGTCTTCATCGATGCGTGACCACGGCTCACTACTTAGGCCAGCCTGGATGCCCTTGGCGAGCTCCTCGCCGTCGTCAACGAATAAGGATTCTAGGGCTTCCCGTTCTGAAACAGTGGTTGAGTGCACCCAAGCCAGCATATCTCCAACGTAGCGCAGAGGATCGTGTGCAGAAAACTCGATCGGCTTCACCTGACGGTCACCGCCACCTCCGGCAACTGCATCTGTAAGAGCATAGTGGAAGGCATCAGAGAGAACGTAATCCCGAGCCTCAGCGAAGAAATCCAGACAACTGTGAAACAGACTGGGTCGCTCCGCCAGCACGCGGAGAACGCGCCGGATGGAGCTGCTGATGCGAGGGTCTTCCAGGTTGAGAGACCGAAATTCTTTCTGGATCCATCGATAGAGCTTCTGATAGGCGGAGTTCAGGCTCCTGGTGCTCTTCTCCATGAGCTCCAGACCGAGTCGCTCATTCTCTCCACCTAGAAGCACTTCGCAGTCCCGGTGCACCTGCTTCACTCGGGCAAGGGCCTCGAAGAAGTGGTCATCAATTGGTTCCTCTGCAGCCGTCAATACCAGAATTTCCTCCTCTGGGACAACAAAGTGTTGCGTGAACGCATCGAGCAGCTGTTGTTTGGTCTCCGCCTCGGTCTTTTGCCTCATCAACGCAGACGCTTCTTCCAGAACGGGCGTTGTATCCTGTTTGGCCATAACAATATGTTTGCGCATCTCCTCGCACGTTTGGTTGAGGTTGGTGATGACCGTCCCGATCCGCTTCAGTTGCTATTGAATCATATGGTGTTAGTAACACTCCACTCCCAGCTCTGGCTCCATGGGGGCCTATCTTACCTCCGCAACCTTTCCAAAGTCGCGCACAATCTCAGCATTGCAGTCGACGACTTCCTTCTGAACGTCTAGACGGAGTTGCCTTCGGACTTCTGCAGTATTATGGATTCCTCGGAGACTGAGGGTCTCCAAAGCATCACGAATGTCTGAATCCGCGTATGAGGCGGAAAGTACACTTGTCAATCGGTTGGACAGCGCATTGGATCGCTGCTGGGTCGGGGGAGAGAGCGGGGAGGAAGCTGGGGAGGAGGCTTTTTTCGAAGTATGACTCGTTAGATGTGCATTCGGTGGGAAATAGCTCGCCATGGTGGCTTGATCAAATGGCGCCTGAGCCAGCTGCGTGTAGAAGATAATTGGGAGCTGCGGAGTATCGCAACGGAAGCGGAGAAAGACCCGCGGGCGGAAAAGGAGCGGCGGGCGTTTGCTTATGTCAGGCGCATTCAGGAACAAACACACCCCGCGGAGAAGAAGGAGCTGGCAACCATGTTCATGGATGCATTGATTGTTGGCTTTGCGTTATTCTTCTCTATATTCAATTCATACGAGGCCCTTTCTGCATAGTATCACCTCAATCACTCTTACAAATTACTATACTCTCCATGGATAGTCCTCTTTTCTCCCCCGCCAAGGCACGTCAAGCTGCCATTGAAGCCAAGGATTGGGCCTATGTGAACACCTGGCTGAACCGGCAGTATGCGCCTAACCCAATTCCCAAGTTTGAACGGAATGAAGACACATTACGGACCTTGCTTGCCCTGGCTGCCGCCAATGATACAGCGGATGAAGAGGCAATGGTAGTGCATGAAGCACGCGAGCAAGCGGTCCAAGCCTACAAGTCTCAGGAACGGAGCGAGGGGACAAAAAAAATCGAAATTTTGGATGAAATAGAGCTCTCACTTGATGAGAGCGGTAGACAGAGTCTTGACGATCTGGCGGAAACAACTGCAGTGCTTGGGGCTTTGAGCACCGATGCAGTTGACCTCGGTCAGTCTATCATTGACCTCACGACGGAGGAATTCAACATGCAGGAGCAAATGTCGAAAGTGGAAGCACTACAAAACTATCTGGAGAGGGAGCTGGCTACTCTGCGGGCGCAACTGGATGACCTTCGGAATAATGAAGCTTTTGAGACGCCTGCTGATCTCCCAGCTCTAACGGGCGAGTGGACACGGAATACCAAGTCGCTTGGTGCGAAAGTGGGTGAGTATCGGGACAAAATCGCTTCTCTTTCAAGGAACAGGGGCAAGGAACCTCGGCTGGAAGATGTCATGGCAAAAGAGGCAGACGTGATAAAGCTTTTTGAGACAGTCAGAAGTCTGGAGACAAGGATAAACATGCTCCATAATCTTCCAGAAGAAGTCCCTGAAGCTCGCGCGAATTGCAAGGAGTTAGAAAGGGAACTCCAGAGACTTGTTCGTGTACGAGATGCAATGGCTGACAGATAGATGAGAATGAGAATATTAACTACGAAGAATGCACAAAGTTCTGTTACATGTTGTATTAAACCTAGTGAGAGCAGTACAATCAAAGGCTTGGTATCGTCAACTCATGAAAATCATAAGAACAATCTGCCCATAGCCGCCAGTTTTCCCCCGGCAATGATTCACATGATGAAAACCGAAAGTCCGCTGCAACCCATGTTACAGTTGTACTTGGGTATTATGAAACCGATTTAGTTGTCGCCGAGGCCGACAGCGTTCTTGATCTTGTCACCACTGCTTGATAGTTAATATCACTCGTCAGTTAGGATAAGGATCGAAGATACTGACATGGACTGGGAAGCACCACCGTGGGCGGTGTTGTCATGGGAGCGCTGGGTCTTGTCGAAAGCCTCCTGAGTGGTGGACTTGGAGTTATCGGACTGGGTTCCACGAGCAAGGCGATCAGTGGTGTCGGTGAAGGTCTCCTTCACCTTGTCCTGGGTGGACTTGGTGGAGTCAGGAGTGATCTCCTCCTTGGCCTCTGCAGATGCATGTGAGTGTCAAGTCCGCAGCGAGAGAGGCAGCTGCAATAGACACTTACTGGTAGAGAAATCCTTGCGACCGGTGTCAGACATGTTGAGTGGTTGTTTGTTTGTACGGGAGTTGTTCTTGAAAAAAAGTTGTAGTGGAGAGTTAAGAAGCTTGGTTGATTGTTTGAGATTGTTGGATGATGGGAAAGAAAGGTGTGAGAAGGTTGATGAAGAGGACTTTATATAACATTTGACTCCCATAGAAACCACTCGATGACGTCGTTTCAATCATCTTCCAATTCACCATCACACGCCATCCGAGCCCTCTGTTTCGCATCCAGGGGCGTTTCCATGGAAGGATACCAGCGAATGAACGTCATCATGAGGAAGTTACCCCGGCCCCAATCATGGGGCAAGATCGAGATGATCGTCATAGTCTGACGGATGTGGATGGGCTTTGGCTCCATTTTGGATACCGAGGCTTGCAGAGAATCAAGGAATTTTCCACTTGCGATTGAGTCCAGATCCAAGTCTGGAACATGACGTCGTCATGACTCCATCCCCAGATTTCTGATTACAGCTTAGCGTCTGTACAATGGCCAAGCCTCCGGATTATCATTCTCACACCTCCGAAAAAAGCTACCCTCCTTTAGGACTAGACCGGATTGAATCTATAACAAGCAAGCGGTCACAGTTGACAGAAAAGTGACAGTTGTTCACCGCCACCCGATGACTCCGCCCCGTTCGAGCCCGAGTCGGCCCATGCCTAACCGTTGCTGGCGCTTCCCATCTCTCCTTCTGAATACTCATTCTTTCTCCCCTCTCTCTCTCTCTCTTTCCTTCCTGCTTTCCATGCCAACGTTCTCTATACGGGTCTTTCGACCAACATGTGGATTTTCTGCATCTTGATGCTTTCAACTTCTTTTGCAGACTCATTCTCATAGTCTTGTGATTCGTGTGATTTCTTCCAGTCAGCCAGTCTTTCCTATCTTTTCCCCATTGATATCAACAACCCCGCCCTTATCTATCTTGGGCGCCTATTGAAGTCTCCTTGCTCCACACACCTTATTGTTTCTTGTTGTCGAATCTTTCAATGCCATCGTCTGCTGAGTCCAATTCGAACTGGGATTTCACTGCGGTGATAAACCTTCTCCGCACGCCTACCTACGGCGGCGGCAGCTCATATGCACCTTATCGCCACCGTGATTCTCTCCCAGCTTCCCAGTCTACCGAGGTAGCAAATCAAGATGATCCCACCCCAAAAAGCTCCCAGCAACCTCAACTGAGCTTGGGAGTTCGCTCTCCAAGGCTTGGTGATTTTGGGTCACTGTGGGATTACTTGGGGGATGCCAGCAACCTGTCGTCCGATACAAACATTGAACCTCAAGCTCAAGGCCTGTCCCCATCCTCGCCACCGAACCTTCCGATCGAAATACTTCAACGCCATTCGTCAAGGAAGTCGGCAGCGAAGGATACCGACCAAGAACCTCTTCGGACACCACCCAAACCCATCCCTAGCTCTGGGGTTGCAAGAGCACGCAAAGTGCAAGCCAAGGTTATTGCTGAAACATGCAAGGCCCGCCTCAACAATGCATCAGCCAAAGCTACTCACGACCTGAGCTCAAGTGAGAGCAACCAGGGTGCAGATTCGGATGGCAGTTTGAGTGTCTTCGATCCTCCCCTCACTACAAAAAAGGGAATCATTTCTTTGGTTCCTCCGCAAGTGGGTGCAGCGAGTACTTCTGTCGACCCATACGATACCCCACCATCCTCATACGATGAGACGGTGGAGCCTCTGGCTTCGAAAGTTGCCAAGTGCCCGCCTAACCCCGACCCTTCACGTATCCAGTCTAGTCCCTACAAGTCGGCCACGGAGCGGAGAATTGGTCTCTTGACCAAACTGTTGAAAAACTTCCCGGACTATGCAAATATCGTTGCTCAGGCGAATCGTCCTGTGGTCAGTAAGAAGGACAAGAATCCATGCCGTCCTATTCACGTCTTCGTGGATATGTCTAATGTAAGTCTCGTCATTTGAAGCACCATATGCATAACTAACGCGTTTCAGATTATGGTTGGCTATCACGATACCATGAAGCTGTCTCGGAATATTCCTGTGAAGACGCGCATTCGGCGCTTGCCATTATCCTTCCAAAACTTTTCCTTGATCCTAGAACGCGGGCGGCCCACTGCCAAGCGAGTCTTGGTTGGGTCTGACTGGTTTGCTGCCATCCGTGAAGGCGAACAGCTTGGCTACGAAACCAATATCCTTAATCGTGTGCACAAGGTCAAGCACATGACCGCCCGTCAGTTGAAGTTTCGAAAGAATCTTCGGACGGGTTCCCACGACCCCGGTAGTGGTTCTGAAACGAACGAGGGACCGGAGGAGCGTTGGGTTGAGCAGGGTGTGGACGAAATTCTACATCTCAAGATCTTGGAGAGTCTGCTTGATACAGACGAACCTGCCACCATTGTTCTTGCCACGGGCGACGCGGCGGAAGCCGAGTTCTCGGGTGGGTTCATGAAAATGGTGGAAAGAGCACTGCGGCGCGGGTGGACCGTGGAGTTGGTCAGTTTTACTCCAGTTACTAGTTATGCTTATCGCCGGAAGGACTTTCGCGCGAAATGGGGAAGTCAGTTCCAGATTATAGCGTTAGATGACTACCTTGAGGAGCTCCTCGATATGTGAATATTGCAATAAGGACACGCACTGGCATTCAGCTTTGAACTTTTCCAATACATAATCTTTGCGTGACTGGTACAATATCCCTTCCAGCTTGAGACTCGACTTCCACACTATTGGACTGGATTCCTGCGGAAATCGAGCGGCCTTCCCTTTCCGCTTTAGGTCGAACTTGGCGCCGAAACGTATAGGTTGCGATAAAGCCCGATGCTGCGGAGTGTCTGGAGTAGAGCTAGTGACAGACGCTGAGGTTGTAGATGTAGCACCTCCAGTGGAAAGGCTAGATGTTCTGGAAATGCCCACACAGACGTAGTACCCATACTCCATATCCCCACAATTAGAACCCACGGCGGGGTTCCAGCTATAGAACTGGGCCATGGTGAGACCGTAAGTGTCAAGGATGGTTTGGCAACTGTCACCCTTGTTGACATAGTAGTACTTGTCAGCTACAGGTTAAACTCGTCGCATGTTGATATGAGGCCAGGTTGGGTAAGAAGAGGAAAAGGTTCCGGTCAGTGCAAGGCACCCTTTCTCAACCAACAATGACTGAATCACTAATCTGACTATTACTATCTACCTAGTACCTTTCTCCTGCTCAACAGTCCCGGCGCAACCCACAAATCGCCGCCACCGGAAGGAACATCCGATCAACCCACAAACTTACCCCGTTATCTTATCTATCCCATCTCCAATCTCCACAGCACGCCCTTCGGTGACATCGCCTAAAGCGCTCGTTCTTCTCTTCTTCTCCTCGCCTGTATTCTTGTTATAAAATGGAGCACGTCGCGGGCATTCCTGGGCTATTATTCATCACTGATTCTACAGCCCCCATGCTGTGCGATCATGCATCACAACGCCGATACATCGAATCAAGAATTGACTATTCTTAACCAAGAACCGGGGCCATCCTCCGACGATGTCAACCCCACTGGAGGGGTTAGTCTAGCTTTCCCCGAGGGTGGGCGCGATGCATGGACTTGTCTCCTGGGTTCTTTCTTGATTATGTTCCCATCCTTTGGGTTTCAGACAGCTAGTGAGGATCTTGAGCACCATCCACTCGCGTTGGAGTCGATCGTTAACTTTTGGGCAGTCGGATCCGTGCAAGACTACATCAGTGTCAACCAGCTTGCTCACTACAGCGTTCGAGATGTTGGTTGGATTACCGCCATCTTCGTTTTCCTGACTCTGTTCCTCGGGGCTCAAGTAGGGCCACTTTTTGATCGCTATGGGCCCCGGATGCTGCTAGCTTGTGGCTCCCTGGCCAGCTTCTTGTCCTATCTCCTTCTCGCCCAATGCTCCAGGTACTGGCATTTCATTCTCTGTCTCAGTATTCTGGGAGGAACATCTGCTGCCATTGTGACGACCGTCTCTATCAGTGTCTTGAGTCACTGGTTCTTCCGTCGTCGCGGGCTCGCGTCGGGGATCTGCATGGCCGGTTCTTCTGCGGGCGGGGCCATCTTACCCCTCATCCTGCGCAAGTGCTTCAGTCAATACGGTTGGACCTGGTCCGTTCGTATCATAGCCTTGGTTGCCCTGGCCTGCTACTCGCTGGGAATTCTCCTTGTCAAGGGCCGTCTTCCAGCCAGTACCCAGAGTCGCGCTATAGTCGACTTCCAGGTGTTTCGTTCTCCTCGCTTCTGCTTCCTCGCCATCGCCGTCTTCTCTTTTGAATTCATCATCTTCGGATGTGCCTCCCTTCTGCCTACATATGTTCGCTACGCCGGTCTCTCGCTTGATACCCAGTTTTACTCTCTCACTGTGCTCAACAGCATGAGTCTGATGGGCAGAGTGCTACCCGGTCTTGCTGCTGATCTTTTCGGCCGGTTCAACACCCTTCTTTCATTGGTGGTGATGACACTAATAGTCATGGCGGCGGTCTGGATTCCAGTCGGATCTCACGATCAGGCGACCCTGTATACTGTGGTTGCTATCTTTGGGTTCGGATCCGGGGGGTGGATCTCGCTGGCGCCGGTTTGTGCGGGACAATTATGTCGGACGGAGGAGTATGGCCGCTTCTATGGGACCATTTACAGTGTCGCTGCATTTGGGGGGCTGCTGACGGTGCCTATCGGAGGAGAGTTGCTGCAGACGACTACACCGCAGGTGTTGGTGGGATTTTATGCAGCAGTGCTAGTAGTGGGGCTGGTGAGTATTGTTTGTTCGCGGTGGGCGCTCTTGGAATGGAAGTGGAGGTGGAAGGTGAAGATCTAGATAGGTAGTTACTTGGTAGATAAGTGCACATCTCAAGTAGTAGTACATACTCCATATAAGCATCGTGCGATATTCGTTTGCTTTCTCCCATTTCTCTTCGCATCGCCCACCTGGCCTTCGCATTTCACCCGTGGTTCCGATCCCCTCGGGGCAGCAGGAATCCACACCGGACACGGGAAAGTACAGTCCCGTCCGTCTACTACCTCGGCAACGAGACGCTCTTGCCGAAGCCATGCATGCGCTTCTGCTCTGCGCTGACATTGCATCAACCACATGCATCAGTCCCCTGCAATCGTACGCGAAAGCCTGGTACCGATGTCAATATAAGTCGATAGTTGCGGTGCGGGATGCGCAGGTCTTTGTAATTGTACCTCGACATCTGAGCTCAAATCCATTATGTCTTGCGAGATATAATGCTGCTTGTACTGTATCTAGAACGGTCTAATCTGGTTCGCCTTACATATATACCTTCAGAATTGTAAGCCATAAACGTGTGTCGAATGCATCGGCCACCGGACGGGGCCTTTTCTAGGCTATGATAAAAACTCGGTAACAACTATACCGAAGGAATAAGCGTCAGTATCACGCATTCGGCCCCAGGCGAAAATAACGAAGGATAGGTGGGGCAGGGGAGGCACAAACGTACTTTGCCGGAGTTCCTCCGGTTTCTCTTGAACGATCCAGTGACCACTATCGATATCTACGATCTTGGAGGCTGGGAAGAACGAAGACATCGTCAGAAATGCCGTTTCCGGAATGTAATGACTCCGAAGTGCTCTCAGGAAGAGCACCCGCCCGTGAAACTGCCTGCATCTTCCTTCTTCCTGGGTCTCTCGGTAGGGGAAGTCGCCCAAAGGCCCCATAGCCGTTTTCAGGATCTCCACAGGGATTCGCAGATCGAGATGTGGCGAATTTGGTTTCTTCACGAGGTTGCTGATGAGCCAAAGTCGAATAGCGGGGTCCTAGGTTATCAGTTAGAGAACTGACAATCGATTTCGGAACGGAAACAAGAAAGGACATCATTGGTAAAGGTAGTCTACCTTCTCATATGCCGCCAGAATTTCATCGGCTTGCCGATGGCTCGTGATCCGCTCCTGTTGCAATCGGGCCAAGCCTTGGAGGTACCCAAGGAAATCCGATGTCAGCGGCAGATGGATGGGACCGTTGTCGATGGCCACGACATCTTTGATGAGGTTGGGGGATTCTAGCGCCAAGGTCAAAGCTGTTTTCGCTCCCCTGTGAGCATGAGAGAAAGACTGGATCAGTCACTGAAGGATGGCGGGTTGGCAAAGAGATTTCTCGCACATACATCGAATGTCCGATGATCGTCGGCTCTCGAATGCGGTGTTTCTCGATGAAGCTTCGCACATCTAGCGCGAGTTCCCTATAATCGTGTTTCGGATGGTGGCCGGAGTCGCCGTGATTGCGCAGATCCTGTCTCCGTGTCAATTTATCTGAGACCAACTTAAGGGCCTGGGGTATAGCTAGGTAATGAATCTCTCAATTGCGAGTGAGATGACTCAGCGACAACAATGTAATTCCGGCTATTGCACAAAAGGAAGGAAAGGAACATACCAATGCATAGACTGATCGGGAGGTATCCTTGGCCAGTTGTCTAAGCCCTCGTATTAGCAGCCATGGGTTTTCCAGTATTGTTTCTGAGATACAGCATGGCTAGTGGGTACGGTGGGAAACAAGAAGAAGGGGGAAAAGAGGCCAGGGGACCTGGAACTACTACAACGAACCCCAAGTAGGGAGGAAAGTGCTTGCCTACTAATCCTCCGATTCTCGCGCTTCGAGCCGAGAAACCCATGGAGAAAGAGAATCGGCGATGTTGAGGGGCTACTGCTGCTGGTGGTGCGAGGTGGTTGGCGGTGGTGGTGATGGAGCTCGTAGGCGAGTTGGACTCGTGCGGCTGGTGGTGGTGACGTATGCAGGGGACGGAGGAAGAGGTGGGGGCGCGGTCTGATAATGGACATGGTGATGATGAGGTCCTGCTATGCTGACAGGCAATGAGGTGGGTGGACTAGAAGGAACGAAAGAGGTAGAGGGGGGAGGAAGGAGATTCATCTCAAGGGTTCGTTGTAAGTCGTGGGCATGAGAAACTGGGAGGATGGCGCGGATCAATCCGAAGCTACGACCCCGGATTGTCGGTCGGCTGTATGGCTGTGTTGCCGAGACCGAAGTATGAGACCCTACAGACTGGGGTGGAGTGGGGGAGAGGAGGCTGGAGATGATGAATATCTGCTCGAGCTACGTCGAGTGAGTTCTTCGGTAGACTTCGTTCTACGGGTTGATTCTAGGAAGGTGGTATTGTGTTTGATCTGGTTACTCGTGATTGGAATTGACCATACTGGTGAGTAGTGCTTGTGCATAAGGCGCCCGCGGCGTCGACTCTATAGTTACAGTTACAGTTCCGGCTGTTTAGGGCTAGGCTCGGGGACCGAGGCAGCTCTTACCGAGCCTGCCCTACCATCGGCATGTTGAACACTTTTGCCGAGTCTGCAGCATCTACTCGTAGTTGGGTTAACTCCTGCCCCTGAATAATACTCGCCAACTTCTCCCCCAAATAACGCTCCAACATCCGTCGATGACCCAAATCAACTACCACGACGCCCTCGAATAATCAGGCTTTGCACTTATTCTCATTATACTACTCTTAACCAACTGCGCCACTTGGGCTCACATGATTGCGAAGCACGCATGTGCTGAGCCCTACGAGGGACTGGCCATCGGGTAGGTACAGGTGACGAGTGGTCAGCTGCGCTGATTGGTAGATATCACGGACTATTTTGTTCTCCGATTAGTCTAGCAAAAGCGCAAATTACTATGTGACTGACAATCATAACAGACCTCACTGAGTGCAAAGAATCTTAATCGTATAAACCGCCACGGCTGCGAGGACCACCGCGGACTGCCTCGCTCGTAAATAGAATCTCGCTTGCACAAACTAGATTGGATTTGATTAGGTCGGCAGATGCTGATACTGTGTCCTGTCGAGGACAAACGTTCGGGTCCGGCGCCTTAGGCGTTGCTTGGACTTGTCAAGATAAACGGGGTGAGTGACTCGCTCACAGGGGCATGGTAGTCTTATATTCCCTGATGTGAGGAAATCGTTATACTTCCCTGCAGCCATGATTCGAACAGTCGACAGCGTGGACAAGCACCATGCTACTGGGCTGTAAGTGCTGGCGGATTGCATGCCGGATCGTGCGTCGTAGCAGTGACAGGAGCTATAGTGAGAAGGGGGAAACGAAAGGTGTTAAAGTAGGCCGGGGAGTGGAGAGGAAGCGACAGGAGCTTAAGCGGTATAGAGATGCAGGAGGTGTCAAAGCGAGCTCTGCAGTGGGTCTAGGAGACGAATAACTTAGGCGGAGCCGCGGAGGACAAACAAATTGCGGCGGCCGGCAGAACCGGGAGACAAAGAAACGCGAGCACGGGGTGCAAGGATAACAAAATGGAGGTCGCGGGTGGTGGCTCGGATGGTGTACGGGCGTAACAGTTGGGTCGTGGAGGACGTGCTGGATGACGGAGGTGCCTTGTTGACCGGTGGCGCCGAAGATGATGAGGAGGTGTTGTTGTTGTTGTTGTTGTTGTTGTTGTTGTTGTTGTTGTTGTTGTTGTTGTTGTTGTTGTTGTTGTTGTTGTTGTTGTTGTTGTTGTTGTTGTTGTTGTTTTGTTGCATGGCCATTATGTTTTATGCTTGGGGTTATTCTCGAGGGGCGGGGTGGATAGGGTCTACAGTAGTAATTCTTGCTGAAAATCTGGTTTATGGGAAGTTTGGAAGCAACAGAGAAAGTCATGTAGGTAGACTTCTGATATACATTACATGCTTAACAGTATTCAACAAAGTTAACTGTCTCGGCGATATTGTAGAATATCCAACGCTTAAATCCGGGATACGCCTAGGCCTCTGCTACGATACTTGACTAAACAGAGACCGCGCTGATGATGGCTGGGAAAAGGCTGCGGGTTCGGACGGCTCGGCAGCGGGGATTACTTTCGGTCTGCGCGAAGCCGTCGGAAATGGGCATCTTGACATCTTGACATCTTGACGTCTTCTCACGCAGATTGAAGATGATTGACGATGATGCTCAAAATCGGATACGCAACCGTAGTTATCTCCGTGCTCGGGTGGACTTAAACGGATCTTTGGAATAAAACGAGCATTTTATAGAGTAGGCCGAAGGAGTATTGAACCATAATTGCATAAAAATGTGCTGTTGCTACGAGGAGTCAGTTGAGTACGTCGAAGAGGGTCGAGAACCAGAAGTGTTCACCATATGAGAAGGATGACTGCAGCCCAATCATATCCATATGCTCGATACGAAAGGTTGACAACTGTCGCATGCCGCCTTGCCAGGTATAAAAAACCCCCCTCTTCACGCCCCATCTACATATCTCCAACTGCAGACCTGAATCCCAGCACAACCTCCCTCTACAACCCCAGCCTCCCCAAAAAAGAGCTTAATAAGAAGTAAAAAATGACAGACCTCCCCCAAATCATCCACCAAATCCGCACCCAGCAGATCCAACGCATCGTCGTCCTCGTGGGCGCGGGCATCTCCACCGCAGCGGGGATCCCGGACTTCCGCACCCCGGGGTCGGGCCTCTACGACCAGCTGCAACCCCTCCGCCACCTCCTCCCCTACCCGGAGGCCCTCTTCAGCCTCAGCTACTTCAAGCACACGCCGGAGCCCTTCTACGCGATCGCGCGGGCCCGCCACCCGCGCACCTTACGCCCAACCCGCACGCACGCCTTTCTGCTGTTACTGAGTCGCAAGAACCTGCTCCATTTCCTGTTCACGCAGAATGTTGACGGTTTGGAGGCGGAGGTGGGAATTCCCGCGGAGAAATTGCTGAATGTGCACGGGAGCTGGCGCGCGGGCCAGCGGTGCTGGAAGTGTGGGGCGGCGTATCCAGATACAAAAATGCGGGAGGCGGTTCGGACGGGCGCGGTGCCGTATTGTCCAGTGGCTGAGTGTGAGGGGGGCGTGGTGAGGCCCGATGTCGTGTTCTTTGGCGAGGAGATCCCCCCCGAGTATGCGGAGCGGGAGGCGCTGGTGCGCGAGGCGGATCTTATGTTGGTGCTGGGGACGAGTTTGAAAGTCGTGCCGTGTTCGCGATTACCCCGGTTGGTGCGGGAGGGGGTGCCCCGGGTGTTGGTTAATCGGGAGGCGGCGGGGGATCTGGGGAAGAGGCCGGAGGATGTGTGTGTGCTGGGGGATTGTGATGATGGGGTGTGCGGGTTGGCGGAGGCGTTGGGGTGGAGGGAGGAGTTGGAGGAGGTGTGGAGGGATGCAGTTAGAAGGGTGGAGGTGCCGTTGGAGCAGGAGGATTGGGGGGAGGAGGTGAGTTTGGAGGTGCTCGTTGAGAAGTATGCGAGGTCGGTGGCGGATGCGAGGTTGGTGTTGGGGGGTCATCGACGGATGTTGGAGAGTCATCTGGGGGAGAAGTTGGCGAGTATTCGGGGCAGGGGTTAGGCTTGGCTTGACTGTACAGTACACACCTACTGTAGAGTCACATTATGCGAGCACTATGACGGTCGTTATTGATTAGTCTCCCTTTACTTAGGTATTCAGTCTGGGCCTTTGATGGGTCACGTATCGCATTCCGCGACGCTATGTGTTCTAGATATGAGTCCAGGAGTCTGGTGTGGTTGACTAGTATAACTTATAGGCTGGTCAGTGGTTGACGGGAGGGCTATAAGTCTAGCCTTATATGAGCAAAATACGCCATTCTGCAACGCTATATGTCTGAGATACAAGGCATTGAGTCACAGTATGAGTCCAGGGAACTGATGATGTTGATTCTAGGTCACCTTATAGATCAGTGAGTCACAAGTCCGTGCATAATTAGTCATTTATGCAAGCCGCAAGCCGCAAGACCCCCGCAGCCCCGCTATCATGTGAAGTTCTTCCATCCCAGCTGTTCCGTAGCTTAGCTTTATTCCTTCAACTTTCAAGCAAAACATCTATCTCCACTACACATAAATACTTTAATATCCCAGATACTGCACCATCTCCTCACTCCCACGACTACAACCACACAACATTCAAAAACCCACCCTCCACCCCTCCACACCAACCTCCCAAAAAAAAACCAAGACCAAAAACAAAACAATGCCAACCTACACCCCCCAACCCCTCTACGGCGGCGCCATCCAAGGCATCATCCCCCAAGGCTGGATCGACGCCAGGTACGTTGCCCTGCCCCAGCCCCTGCCCCAATCCCCTCCTCCCCATTATTCCAGTCCCAACCCACTAACATCCCCCTCCCCGGAAAAAGTACCCTCCGCGAAATCCCCGACCACCAAGAACTCTACCTCTCGCCCACCACCCTCTCCTCCCTCATCATCGAACTCAACCAACCCGTCCCCAACCCCGTCGCCCAAGCCACCCTGCGCGCCCACCCGGCCCTCCTCTCCGCCCTCTCGGAAACCAGTCCGCAAGACCAAGAATCCCTCAACCGCGCTGCCGCCCTCCACCACCTCCTCGACATCTGCGATCCCGCGGATACGCTGGCGATCGTACAGCCGCCGACCAGGGTGGCGCTTGAGAAGTTTCAGGGGAATGTGGCGGGGTATGTTGGGCGGGTTAAATTTACGTCCCCGGTGGGTGGGGGGAGGAGGGTGGGGTTGCAGCAGCAGCAGAGGGCTGTGGGAGCGGGGGCTGGGGCTGGGTCGAGTGGGGAACAGGCGGGGACAACGACAACGCAGTGCTGGTTTCTGTTGGTGAGGCTGGTGGAGCAGGAGACTGATCTGTTGGTCTTGGTCAATGTTCCTGAGAAGGAATTCGTGGAGAGGGGGGATGCGGAGGGGTTGAGGAGGGAGGTCGAGGTGGGTGAGGGGGTGGTGGCGGAGTTGGTTAGGGGTCTGGAGGTTGTGGAGTGGGGGCTTTTTGCTTGATTCCATCTAGCTTATCAACTTGTCTCGATATGGGAGGTGGAGGGGGGTTCATTTGGGATGGGGATGGGGATTGGATATTATAGGGATTTGGATTTTGGATGGGATACATCGAATGCTTGGATGGGGGGTAGGATTAAGGATAAGGAAAGGAAGCATCATGCATATATAGATAGTTATTGGCGCAATTGTCGCTTGTATAGATAGATACCTAGGTTAGTTATGAATCGAATCAATTAGAGACTTTTATATTGGGATTTAGAGAGAAGAGAAGAAAGTGAAGTCAGGTCCTCAAACCGTACGTAGTCTACGGCGATACAAGCAATAATTTTTGTACATTTGAGCTAGTGGGCATGCCCTAACTGACACCAGGTCAGCAAGCAGCGTCCACAATATAAATACAGAACCAAACACCGAAATGAAGACACCAATGTATAACCGCTAAGAAACTGAGCACCAAAGGAAACGCCATCATGCCCCAGGCTATGATTATTTTCGAAGACTCCACCCCAGCTGGTTAGTTTGAATCATCCAGCGTAGTCACAGCGGCAACCCCATCCATCACCTTGGCCACCTCCGCGAGCAGCCCCCTCGCATTCGGCAGCAGCGACAGCGGCTGCTTTTTCCGCGGCGAGACGCTGCGCGGCTTGGGCTTGATCTGCTGCAACAGCCCGTGACACCGGCCACACCGCGACCGCACGGGGTTGATGCTCTTCGAGTGCCGCCCGTAGGTCTGGCCGCAGTCGACGCAGCTCCACACGTACTTGTAGTCGATCTTGTAGTTGTGCTTGGTGGAGATCTCGATCCGCCCGCCGCCGTAGACCGGGTGGTCCTGCAGCGCCTCGATGCACTTGCGGCCCCACGCCTTGAAGCTCTCCCCGTGCGGGTTGTCGTGCACGTCCGAGATCATGTAGTTGGCCAGGTGGCAGTACTCGTGCGCCACCGTCTTGATGATGCGCTCCTCGCTGTCGATGATCCGGTCGGCGAGCTCGATCTTGACGTAGTGTTTGGCAGCTTTGGTGGGGGTGTCCTTTTCGGATCCGCTGAGGTCGGACTCGCGCTGCTTGCCTGGCGTGACTCGCTTCCATGTGGCGCGGCCGGCGGTGGTTTGAAGGGTCTTGCTCCACACGATCTCCACGCCTCCTGTCGTGGCGGCGAGTTTCTGGACTTGGCCGTCGTTCACGGCATTGTCGAGGGTCTTGAAGAAATCCTCCGCGAAGCCGGCTTTGGAGGCGTCAAAAGCTTGCTTGCGGGCCTTTTCGGCTTTCTTCTTCTCGGTCTCGGCGCGTTTGAGCGCCGTCTTGCTGGGGGGCTTGCGGGTGGGGGAGGCTGGTGGTTGGCTGCCGCGGTTGGCTCCCCGGGGCATGATGTCCACGTCGATGACTCCGACGTCGGACTCCTCGTCGAACTCCCGGAGGAGTTCGTCGGCCTTGCAGGGCGAGTGTTGCGTGACCCAGTCGTTGGTCACTTGCTCGCTCCAGAAGGCGTCTACGCTCTCGCGGTGGGGGGTGGGCGGGATGTGCACCCGAAGTCTGTCTTTCGTGGGGGATCGAAGGCGTCCCTTCGAGGGACTCGATGGCGGTGTTGAGGTCGTCGTCGTCGTTGTCGTCGTCCCCGTTGCCGATTCAATGCTTCTGTTGGCCTGCGATCTCTTGGTTGGAGAGTCATCGTATTGACCGGACCTAGGGGGTCTATATTAGCATGCGAACCGGAGGTTTTTTGAAGAGACAGGGGTGTAGATGGAGAATTTATGGGAGATTTACGTGAATAGATTCTGCTGGAGTTGAAAGGCCGGATCATTGTTCTCCAGGTGCAGATTGTTCAGCTTGTCGGTGAGGTTGACCTCCTCCTGAAAGAGGCGCCTGGGCGTGGCCTCCAGCTTGGGGGCTGCCATTGTCAATCTGGCGGGCAAGGATGGTGCCAGTTTCAGATCCACCTCATTGTCCGAGGCAGCTGCAGCTGGATCTTCTTGCAGATCTTTTTTTAACTCTCTTTTTTCGCAGCCCGGTCGTCGACCCCTGAACAATCTCTTTCTTGTGGTTGTTCGGGGCGGCAAGGGCGAGGGTTGCGCGGGCTTCGCGAACTCTTCTTCCTCTGTTTCATCCTCGGATGTATTGTGGTAACTGAGGTCTTCATTGTCGCTGACAATGAAATCAGCCATTGAGTCGGCGTCATTGTCTTCTTCGCTTTCTTCGTCGGCAGATTCGGGTTCTGGCCGTCGGTAGCCCGTAAGCAGGCGACGAGTATTCAGCATTCCTCTTCCTGGTGTCGGTCGAGTATCCGCTGGTCGACGCATCGGCGAGCGACTTGACGACGAAGACGACGCATCCGACGGGTTCCTCGACAGCGGAGGAACGTCGCGATCCTGCCCGTGCTCGTGCTCGATAGGGTCATTCTCCTTGTCGTAATTGTAGGTCTCCGGCTTCCTTGTTGACCTGCTACGCCGCGGGGGGGGCGGCGGTTGGGACAAAGGGGCCGCAGATAATGAATTGATCTGCGACAGTCTCAAAGGGTCTGCCGTCCGTGTCTCGCACAAAGAGCGGGTCGAGGACCGCGCGCTGCTATACTCGGTTTCGCTGAACCCGCCATCGCTATCGGAGAAGATATCGAAAATCCCACTGGAGACGGTCCCTGTTCTCTGGTGTCGGACTCTTTGTTGTTGCTGTTGTTGTGGGGGGTTTTCGATTATTGTCGTGGTCGTTGTTACCGAGTCGGCCTTTGTTTGTCCCTTCAGTGTGGTGACTGTCCATTGTTGCTGGGGTTCATCCTCTGCCTCGGACGCGGACGACGTAGCATACTGGGAGACCTCGCGAACGACCGTCTCGGTGATTCTGGCCTTGGCTTGAGGCCGGAACACCGCGGGCTTGATGGGGCTGTTGGGGTTGAGTCGGGCCATGGTGTCGGGATATATATCTTAGATGTCGATTGCTGTGCAATGCAGCAGCGACCCCACCTCCGCGTTATTGATGACGATGCCCTGTGGCGATCTGAGGTGTCATACAGTACCTGCGGTTGGCGTGGCAGTCGGTCGGTCGTCCACTGTCGATAGACGTGCAGCCCTTCGCACGCTTTATCTGCGCGAGGCTGGAAACTGGGGAAAGACTATTGAATTGCGGTGGGAGTTCTGGAGACCGGTTGGCACAGCAACGCGTCGGGCGAGATCCCGCGGGCGATAAAGAACCAAGGCACTGGCCGATAGAATTCATGGATGTGGGGTTTTGGTTCCGGTGTTGGCCCATACGATGCGCCAGGGGCGCACACCGCTTGATCTCTCTGCACTTTCGAGGGCATTGCATCATCGTGGATGAGGAGGCTGGGGATGGTTATGGTCAATGCAAAAAAGATATCTGGGTGCTGGCAAAAAAAATATTGAAGGCCCGAGCCGCGGATCGAACGCGGGACCTCTCGCAGATATGCTTGGGTTTGTATCCCTAAGCGAGAATCATACCACTAGACCACCCGGGCTTCTTATAGCAAAAGACTTGATACTTGGTCCTATGTTACATTACCTGAAGGGTTGTCCAAGCAATGCACCTGCCATCGAAAATCATTACTGGTCGCAACAATAGCAGTCAGCCATGATGTTACCCACTGATTTGCCTTTAATATTCAAGTTCAATGCAGGATCTTAATCCCTTCGGCACCTTTAAAGGTCGTGTTCTGCTAATATCGCGTCTAGAGTTGCTACGAAATACCTGCTCTAGTTCTATTCGCGTTGTCGGATCGGATATATACTTCCAAGAAAACGAGACCTGAACCAGTCGGGACTCAACTCATTTTTGTGCATAAGGGGTACACCAGAGAACCATGCACAGTAAGCCCCCATGATTACACCAGAACAAGAATTCACAATACACACGCAGTAACCATACGTGCAAGGCTTGGACCCCAATGCTGACAGCACTGGTAAACCCAGCCCCATACATGAACGAGTGCGCATCTGGGATCCAGCCTGTTACATAGATGACACCATCAGACAGAAAATGTAACAAAGACGAAGTGCAGAGCATGTTCATGTGAACATGATCTGAGACAGCCGGTAAGCGCCCCAGCTTTGCTGTACCCGGAGGCTTGGCCCACGCCATCAAACCATTAGATAATGATATGCCCCAGGGAAGCAACCAGACAGCAGTCCGTGTGCACACACCAAAGAGCCAACATGGAAGACCCAGTAAACCCGTGACGGAATACAACACCAACGATTCCGCCCGAGATGCAAAAGCTGCAAGGACAAGGGACCCACAGACACAGAACAATAGAAGACGGGGGATGTTGCCCGCCCACAGAACGGCAGTTACAATTCATCAAAATGACCAGACAACCGCATGATGGCCATGATCCATCCACTGCGACATCTGTTCCCAGCAAGGAATAACCGCAGGTTCCGAACGGGACCCAGAGGGGCAAAGCTAAAGAGCTTCTTCCTCCGTCCGTAAATAGACTGCAGGGCCTGCAGTGCAGACACAAGCTCCCCCAGCTTCGTGTTACAACATGGGAGCATAGAGCATAAGTCACAACCAACCGGACACCCACAAAGCAGATCTGACGATGCTCGCAAGCGAATATGGCCCAGCGTGTGATCAACAACCAGCCTGCAATCGCGCCGGTTGTCCCACAACCCACCCCCAAGGACACGCTCATGCGTGAGCTGACAACCACTACACCGCGATGAATGCGGGAATATCAGATGCAGGACAGAAAAGAGTCATGCGGAAGAATGGTCGGCTATCGAAGAAATTGAAAACGTTCAATCGCCACAATGGCCGTGTGTGCGAATCATCCCGGTTCACAGGATCAACCTGACTCTTGGTCCAACGGAGTTGTCCTAGACGGTGATCCCCAATAAAGGGGATTGCACATCCGGCAGCACAGTGTACTCAGTGGCAGTCGAAGTGGCGAAGTCGTCTATCAGACGCGGTAGAAGATCACGATCCGACATCTCCAGGCGTTCGAATCACCATGCGACGATCGTTCCTTTTCCCGTCAGTGGAACTGTCCCAGACAAGCAACCCACTCACCACTCTAGAGTACGGGAGTCTCAAATTAGTCGCGTCGCGAGCCGGTTCGCACAGGTGATCATCGCACCTTAAACAGCAACAGAGGTTGAACTGGGTATACCTTGGGAAGATGCACGACTAATCTGATCAGAGCTCCGTACCGAACCACATCCGCCGCCACATTTCGGGAGAGCCTCTCAATTGCATATGTGGCGTCGGCTGTCGAAAACGGTCATCGCACCATAGCACTTGGAAGTACTCCCTCCGTACAGCGTAGTGAGTGACGACCAATGCACAGACAGGCCTGCTTGCCTCGTAAGCTGTGTTTACGAAACCAGGTGAGCCGCGCAACTAATCATTGCCCGGACCGTCGACCATAGGTTTGTCAGCGTTGTACGTGGCGAGAACACTGAACCAATTGAAGCCACAAATCATAGGGAGAGGGAAAGGAAGTGATAGTCTAATTTAGTGTGACGGAGGGGAGCGGAAGTCAGGCGAAATGAAATCTGAAACACTTGATGGAAGAAACGATGGTGCCGCCCCCCTTTTCTTTTCCTAATCCCCCATTAATTGACCGGGCCGGACCACTCACACAAAAGTCGCAACTCCGTCGCAATCAACCTAGGCTCGTCGCGGATATCGCCACCCGCTCTACTGCCCCATCCGATTGGTTTTCGCCTACATCTTATGCTCCAGTCTCCCACAGCCACCTGTGTCCTTTAGTGCCCTGTGGTGCCTGGACATTGGCCCATTCAAACGGTCTTGAAACCTGCTCCCTGCTAGCCCAGTGTCCTGATTATATGACTCCACATTGGGAAGAATAAGGACTTTGGCGATGAGATTGGGATTACTGCTTGCGGTCGCATATCCCGCAAGCTAGTACGGAGCAGCTGGGAAGGGGGGAAATTATTGGGGGAGGGGAAAGGGGTCCTTCGGAAAAGTGATTTGGCGAGATTCATTCGAGTCCATCAGGGGGATTCGAGGGAGGGAGAGGGGGAGGGGGAGGGGAGAAGAAAGGGTCTGTTGCCTGTGAATGAGGTTGATCCTGCGAGGAGGGATGTCTTATCTTTTCTACCTCTACTTATAGCGTTGCATGATACAATACTGTGCATGATAGGCATCACCAATGACCAGGAGACTTGGGTTGCTATCGAGTCTAAGTACTGAGATACAGTACACAGTGCATGTATGTTCCTGATCTGCTGCAAGGGCAAGGAAGATATAAATGGAACGGGCAGACATTGCACACACATAGCACCTATCTTGCATATCGCTCCCGAGCAGCTGCCAGACTGCTGTTCCGACCATTTCATTTCACTAGTATCGCGCTATAGTATTCTCTCGAGGTTCTAGGTCCCATGAACCCTTTATTTTAATCTATTGAGTGAAGATCACTATATCTTCGAGGGTTGACTATACCACGGAGTAACGACTATTGCTACGTATTATCATTTTGTCAAGAGAGAAGGCAGGACAGTCGGTTCCATGGCTATGCCGGCTCTGGAACCCGGGTCAAAATTGTTTACTTTGCATATTTTTGGAACTTGATTCAGCCCATCCATAATTTTACTTAGTCCTTGTCCTTACTAGACTAGTTATGATTTATTGTTTGGATTGATCAATCAAGCCACGCAGGCGGAAGAACGTTGAGATAGACATCCGTGCGAATCCCACTGCGAACCAATTGATAGTCTGGACAGCCCAAGAGACAGAGACCAGTTAGCGTGGGCGGTTTTCCCACCGATACAGATGTCATCATGGATCTTACGTAGCTTGTGGGGCGGCTACGCTTTTAGTCTCCCTGACCTGAAAGGTGTGAATTTCTCACAAATAACGGGACTCCTTTTGAATATTCCGGTCCTCATCCATGGCTACCACTAACAATATTCCACATTGTGTCTCTTTTCAAAAGGAAGGTACGGAGTACTGTTTTTAAATTTAGCAGATGAGAGCTGTAATTTGTAGTGGCCATCCTTGGTTGCTCCTGAGAATCGGTGGTTCTTCCAGGGAAGGTGGTTGTCAATAGTACTCCGTGCTCATAATTAATACAGTGTACCTTCCTTGAGTGAGTGAGTATCCAAGTGAGTCTCCACAGCCTCTCTCATCGCCTTCGCCCTAGACCACCGGTAGACTAGAAAGGCTGGAAGCCTAGCAAAAGAGGCTAAAGGAGTGTCTAAGGAGGCTGGAACGACAGACGATACACGATCACCAACCACAACTGTCGATCATAGTCTACAGGCTGCTTAGTAGTTCACTGCTTACTATGGAGCAGGACAAAAGTGGCCTTCCTTTCCCTGAATTACCAATAGAAATTCAACATTTCATTGGAGTCAGAACGGGCTTGCAAAATCGCAGACACCGAACAAAAAGCAAGAAAAGCAGCCACCGCAATCAAGGCTTGAAAGTTGGGTCCTGTTTTTCTTGGGGTGTGGGGGCTTTTCCTAACGCCGGCCCCCTCCCATCCGCGCCATTTGAGTGGCTGCGGCATTACAGTTGGCGGATTGTTTGTAAGGTTAGGTTGCAAAGATTACATGCCGCTAAGAGGCCCGCTGCCTTGTCGTACAGTAATTCTCCTCGTACCAACGGAACTGCGTCTGCAGGTTTACTGTTTCTCAGGTAAGTTTCAAATCTCAATGTTTGCCTATCTGCCTGTCTATCTCTCTATCCACGTACTGTATACATACACCATGCTCTCCAGGATTGCAACGGCTGACAACGTAGAGTTATCGATCGGACAACCGTGGATGTAAGGGTCTCAGATAAGGAGACAGATGATCTATACCCAGGGATCGTACTTCTCAACTCTAAATACTCTGCCAGCAGTGATCCGATCATGAAGAGCAAGAGATCGACTTAGATGATAAATCCGCTGCAGTGTGATCATGTACTGACTGACCTGGAAATAGCCTCAATGAGTGAATCCATCCGGCAATGTTAACCACCTGGAACCCGATAGTGCATCCCTTGATCGGTTGGGTAGATCTCTGCGGCCTTTCGCGGGTCTTCAGGGGACGACGAGTGGCTCTTGTCATTGCTGTCTTAGATGCGCCCCCATCCGCAATGCTTAAGAATAGATAGGTATGGACTGCGGAGTCGATCTTCGTTTCTTTCCAGAAGTGCTATGACTATGTACTGTACTGTAGAAGCGAACATTGGCAGACCCCGCTCCCGACAGAGCTGTAGACTAATTCTAGGAAACCGGAATGTACATGTCTTTGTCTCCGTAGACAGTCAAGTCATCAGGGAATCCTCCAACTCAATGCAAGTCTCCCGCAAGAATTGGCTTCACAGACCACGTTGTCTCTATTGCTTAGGGTGGGTGGACAAGTTCGGTGGATTCCATATACTCCAAGTACATGCATGGTATTGGTGGGCTTGCCCAGACCTCTTCCCCATTCTTGTGAGAAGTGATGCGCAGCCGCTGTCACTGGACAAGTTTCGTGGCCACTGGGGCTGAATTATGTACGGGCTTGGATTCTGGCAGGCAGCTATCTAACTCAAAATCTTGTCCTGTCAAATGGTGCCAGTGTGCCTCCATGGGCGCATGTTTCTTTCTTGTGTACTGACAGTGGCAAGGAAGACAGGTTACTCTATAATTGGAAAAGCAGTCAGATGTTCAGTGCCTGCCTTACTCAGCGGCTGTGGGTCGAAGCAGCTAATTATGTATGATGTATGCTTCCCTATGCGTGTCGATTCGTGGCGAAAGAGTCAGTGTAACGTGTATAATTTTCCTTTCCTTTTCTTTATCTTTTGCAGTTGTACAAGGTTTTGTGTAGTTCGATCAAGTACGCAGTAACATACAAGTACAAGAAGTTTTCGTGGAAGGACATGATATGATCGGTTGGAGACTAGTTCATGCTGCCAGCTTGATTGGGAATGCAACTGCACTGCCGAGAGTGTGCTCAGAATCTTATCCTATTCTTGCCTGCTACTGATAGCCATGATAGCCTCACTACAATGGACTATGAAGTTTCTACGAGGCGGAGCATATATGCAGGAAGCGTTACATGCGCCGTCTAGTACTAGCAGTACATAGACAAGATTTTTATTGGGGTGTACACTACCTGAGTATGAGGAGCCTTTTCTCAGCAACGGAGCCAACTCTCCACAGTCTGAAGCTGTTGCAACAATCCGTTGCTCGCTAAGGATCCAATAAACCAAAGACCGCTCGCTGCCACCATAATAAACAACCACCCGCCCCGGCGACGCATTCGTGACCTTGCCACTATGATGTTGTAACAAGATGGACTGTGGTTGCTGGTACGGGCGGGTTGAGGAATGAAGATGGTTCATGATTCATCCCTTCATGCCTGGTGGGAGCAATGCTTGTAAATTGGAAGGGTAAACAAGCAAACAGCGGCGAATTTCGAATACCGTAATCTATTACACTGATACTCGCATCACTTCCCAGCCCTTCGGTACGGATCTGGGTAATTCCCAGTTCCTGATGGTCTAGAGTTGTGGGTCGGGGGAGGTGGGCTTCAGGGGCCGTCGCTGAGTTCCATGGATGCCGAAGCACACAGTACGTATCTCCGGACAAGTCTTGTCCACTTGTTGCAGATTTGAGGCCGGTAAGCCTCCGTTGAACTTTTGTGTCCACCACTCCAGGCTTTGGGAGGGGAATATGGATCAATGTGGTTGCCAGCTACGTCAGTTACTCAAGTCTACTGAGGATTCTGATTGTCGCCATCTGCTGCATTCGGTAGACTCTTAGGATGGGGTTTGGAATGGTTTTGTCTCTCTCTCTCTCTCTTTCTTCTATGAATGGATGTGGTAATTTTCGGATGGCAAATTTGTTGGTGATCTCCTACGCGTACCTCACATTCGGCAGATGTGGCACCCGGGGAGGTCCCTAACCACGGTATCTCAGGCACTCAATTAAAGCAAAGTATAGTGTACCTTGGGTTACATATACAGTAGCTACATAATATGGAGTTACAGCACTGCCCAGCCTCTTGTTCGTGATGTTAAGAATTGCTGAGCGAAGCTGATCAGTAAGGTACCTTGGGTACAGGTAGTAGTAATCTGGTACCTGCTGGGATGGATAAGTGTAGGTGACTGGGAAAGTGGATGGATGGATGGATGAATAGCTGATGGAGGAGGAGATGGTGGTGGGTACATACAGTACTCTCTCATTACACACGTTATGCTGTTTTGCGTGTATTTAACATACCGAGATATGGTAGGAGCTGGTTAATACCAGGTACCACTGCATGTACCATCCCATGGAACATTACGTGAAGAGTTGCTGGTTGGCTGCATATCCCCGCCCTGGCCTGGCTGACCGGGCATATTTACCACTAGTCCAGGAGAAATCGGTATCGCGACTAGTAAATTAGCAGATCCAGATCCCAAAATAACCACAAGTCTCCCTCCCCCCCCTTCCCTTCCACACTCTGCCCCCCCTCCTTCACCCTCCTCCCCCCTCCAATCCAATCCTAGGGAGAGAGAAAAAAAGGCCCAGAGGACTTGAGAAAGGACCGTATTCTGTATTAGCTCGAGAAAGACAGCGAAAAGACTGGCCCAGTCAGTAGCGCCAGTGCTATCTTCCCTGCTTGTCGGTCAATCAATTCCCTTTTTCACCACTACCCGTCCAATTCAAGCCTCCTCTAAGCGTCCTTCTCTCTGGGTCCTTTCCTTCTTTCGTTCCCTGTCTCTCTCACTCTCACTCTCACTCTTTCTTGCTTGCTTCTTCCCTAACCTCTTCCTTTTTTCTTTTCGGTTCCCTGTCTTGTTCAGTCCACTCTTTTGTTCTTATCATCCACTCCCACCCACTCACCCCCCAAAACACCTACACCCAAGTCACCCAACCACTTTTCCCTCCAGGAAAACGCGACTTGGCTCCCTTCCTTCTTTCTGATTCTTTCGTTTTGAGGAAAGAAGAGGGAGGTGTTGCTCGACTGAGATAGGTTCGACCTACAACGGTCATTCATTGACACCTTTCGCTCAACCCCCCTTTAGTTCAGTTTCGCCCATTTGGCTTGACCCCTTCCACTCGTTTACCAAACGGACTTTATCAACGACATCCCGACTTCGCCTTACAACAAGTCGGTCACCAGCAGAATCTATCGTTTTCGATTTGAGTTTGAATCACTTTCAACACCGTTCAACTGTCGGGGACTGGTGCCTCCAGGGGACAAAAAGCGCTCTCGGTTTCAGTGTACTCGACGTGTTTCGACCTTTTCGATCTTTAGCGAACGGATCCTACCGAAAATTCGACTGCCTGTTATATGCTCCAGCCGTCGGGAATATTTTCAGCTAATTTTTAATGGGTCATTGTTCATGTAAGTCCTGACCATCCCGGTTACGGGATGCTCCTTGCTGGGTATGACTGCAGAAACTCATCACTCGCAATTCTATAGAACCTCTTCGAAGAGTTAGTGATTGTGGCACGTCAAAATGTCCGGTTATCCCGCAGCAGCAGGAGGAGGAGGAGGAGGAGGAGGAGGAGGAGGCCACTACGAGGAGGGCTACGGCCACCAGCAAGAGCATGGTGACTCGTACTACCAAGACGAGCATGGCCAGGCTTATTATGATCATGAGAATTATGGTGATAGTTACTATGATAGAGGGTATGTGACCTGGGTTTCCTCTGCATCCCGTCACCCGAGGACCTGCATTAACCTGTGCTCAACAGCAATTATTACAATGCCGAGGGAGGTCAAGGGTATCAACAAGAAGGCGGTTACTATGACGGTGGCCACCAAGACGAGTACTACGGTGACCAGTACTATGACCAAGGAAATAATGGCGGCAGGGGCAGACGCCGCGGCGACTCCGAAGAGGATTCCGAAACATTCAGCGACTTCACCATGAGGTCCGAGACTGCAAGAGCGGCCGACATGGATTACTACGGCCGCGGCGATGAGCGTTACAACAGTTACGCCGACAGCCAGTATGGTGGTCGTGGCGGATACGGCGGCGGTTACCGGCCACCGTCATCCCAAGTCTCTTATGGTGCCAACCGATCTTCCGGAGCCTCCACCCCCGTGTACGGCATGGATTACGGCGGTGCCCTACCCGCTGGCCAGCGGTCGCGGGAGCCCTTCCCCGCCTGGGCCTCGGATGGTCAAGTCCCTGTTTCCAAGGAAGAAATTGAGGATATCTTCATCGACCTGGTCAACAAGTTCGGTTTCCAGCGGGACAGCATGCGTAACATGTACGACCACTTGATGACACAGCTGGATTCCAGAGCTTCTCGCATGACTCCTAATCAAGCTCTCTTGTCGCTCCACGCCGATTACATCGGTGGTGACAACGCCAACTACCGCCGGTGGTACTTTGCTGCCCATTTGGACCTGGATGACGCCGTTGGTTTCGCGAATATGAAGCTTGGAAAGGCCGATCGTAAGACGAGAAAAGCTCGCGCCGCGGCCAAGAAGGCTGCCCAGCAGAACCCCGAGAATGTTGAAGAGAACCTCGAGGCCTTGGAGGGAGACAACAGCCTGGAAGCTGCCGAATATCGGTGGAAGACCCGGATGAACCGTATGTCCCAGCATGACAGAGTGCGCCAGATCGCCCTTTACCTGCTGTGCTGGGGTGAGGCCAACCAGGTCCGTTATTTGCCGGAATGTCTCTGCTTCATCTTCAAGTGTGCAGATGACTACTACAGCTCTCCCGAGTGTCAGAACCGGGTAGAGCCTGTGGAAGAGCTCACTTACTTGAACGAGATCATCACGCCTTTGTACCAGTTCTGCCGTGATCAGGGTTACGAGATCTCCGACGGCAAGTATGTCCGTCGGGAGCGTGATCACGACAAGATCATCGGTTATGATGATATGAACCAGCTTTTCTGGTACCCTGAGGGTATTGAGCGCATCTCGTTCGAGGATAAGACCCGGCTGGTGGATGTCCCGCCCGCAGAGAGATGGACGAAGCTGAAGGATGTGAACTGGAAGAAGGCCTTCTTCAAGACTTACCGCGAGACACGTTCCTGGTTCCATCTGATTACCAACTTCAACCGTATCTGGGTTATCCATCTTGGTGCTTTCTGGTTTTTCACTGCTTACAACGCCCCGACGCTTTACACCACCGACTACCAGCAACAGCTGAACAACAAACCGCCAGGCTCTTATTACTGGTCTGCTGTTGGTTTCGGAGGTGCTCTGGTTTCTTTCATTCAGATCATGGCAACTATTTGTGAATGGATGTATGTCCCTCGCCGATGGGCTGGCGCGCAGCATCTCACTAAGCGGTTGTTTTTCCTGTTGGCTGTTTTCATCGTCAACCTGGCTCCTGGTGTCGTTGTCTTCGGATTCAAGAAGACCATTGGCGAGACTATTGCTCTCGTCATTGGTATTGTCCACTTCTTCATCGCCTTGGCTACGTTCTTCTTCTTCTCTATCATGCCGCTTGGTGGTCTCTTTGGCAGTTACCTGAAGAAGCATGGACGTCAATATGTTGCCAGTCAGACGTTCACGGCCAGTTTCCCTCGCCTCAGCGGTAATGACATGTGGATGTCTTACGGTCTCTGGATCTGTGTTTTTGGTGCCAAGCTGGTTGAGTCCTACTTCTTCCTGACCTTGTCCCTGAAAGATCCTATCCGTATCCTGTCGCCCATGCGCATTCACCAGTGTGCTGGTGTCACTTACATCCCCAACGTTCTGTGCCATCGTCAGCCCCAAATTCTCCTGGGTCTGATGTTCTTCATGGACTTGACGCTCTTCTTCCTGGACAGTTACCTGTGGTACGTTATCTGTAACACGATCTTCTCCGTCGCTAGATCCTTCTATCTCGGTGTCTCGATCTGGTCCCCCTGGAGAAATGTCTTCTCTCGCCTGCCCAAGCGTATCTACTCGAAGGTGCTGGCTACGACCGACATGGAAATCAAGTACAAGCCCAAGGTTCTTATCTCACAGGTGTGGAACGCTATCATCATTTCCATGTACAGAGAGCACCTCTTGGCCATCGACCACGTCCAGAAGTTGCTCTACCACCAGGTTCCTTCCGAGGTCGAGGGCAAGCGGACTCTTCGCGCTCCTACTTTCTTCGTCTCCCAGGAAGATCAGTCTTTCAAGACCGAGTTTTTCCCCGCTGGTAGCGAGGCCGAACGCCGTATTTCCTTCTTCGCTCAGTCTCTGTCCACGCCTATGCCCGAGCCTCTCCCGGTTGACAACATGCCCACTTTCACCGTCCTCATTCCCCACTACGGTGAAAAGATTCTCTTGTCCCTTCGTGAGATTATTCGTGAAGATGAGCCCTACTCCCGTGTCACTCTCCTGGAATACCTCAAGCAACTTCACCCTCATGAGTGGGATTGCTTCGTCAAGGATACCAAGATCTTGGCCGACGAGACTTCTCAGTTCAACGGCGATCAGGAGAAGAGCGAAAAGGATGCTCAGAAGAGCAAGATCGATGATTTGCCCTTCTACTGCATTGGTTTCAAGTCCGCCGCTCCCGAATACACTCTCCGCACCCGTATCTGGTCTTCTCTGCGCTCCCAGACGCTGTACCGCACCATCTCCGGCTTCATGAACTTCAGCCGGGCTATCAAGCTCCTGTACCGTGTTGAGAACCCCGAAGTCGTTCAGATGTTTGGTGGCAACTCCGAGAAGCTCGAGCGTGAGCTTGAGCGGATGGCCCGTCGCAAGTTCAAGATCTGTGTTTCCATGCAACGTTATGCCAAGTTCAACAAGGAAGAGCGTGAAAACACCGAGTTCCTTCTCCGTGCCTACCCTGACCTCCAGATCGCTTATCTTGATGAGGAGCCTCCGACCGAAGAGGGCGAGGAGCCCCGCCTGTACTCTGCTTTGATTGACGGACACTGCGAACTTCTCGACAATGGAATGCGCAAGCCCAAGTTCAGAATCCAACTTTCTGGTAACCCCATTCTTGGTGACGGAAAGTCTGACAACCAGAACCACTCTATCATCTTCTACCGCGGTGAATACATTCAGGTCATTGACGCTAACCAGGACAACTACCTGGAGGAGTGCTTGAAGATCCGCAGTGTCCTGGCTGAGTTCGAGGAGCTGACCACCGACAACGTTTCTCCTTATACTCCTGGTGTGCCCTCTGCTAATACGACCCCCGTTGCCATTCTCGGTGCCCGTGAATACATTTTCTCTGAGAGCGTCGGTGTGCTTGGTGACGTTGCTGCCAGTAAGGAACAGACGTTCGGCACTTTGTTCGCGCGTACTCTTGCCCAGATCGGCGGAAAGCTGCACTATGGTCACCCTGATTTCCTGAACGGTATTTTCATGACGACCCGTGGCGGTATCTCCAAGGCTCAAAAGGGTCTGCACCTGAACGAGGATATCTATGCTGGTATGACGGTTCTTCTCCGTGGTGGACGCATTAAGCACTGCGAGTACTTTCAGTGTGGTAAGGGTCGTGATCTTGGTTTTGGTTCCATTCTGAACTTCACCACCAAGATTGGTACTGGTATGGGTGAGCAGATGCTGTCCAGAGAATACTATTATCTCGGAACTCAGCTGCCTCTCGACCGTTTCTTGTCTTTCTACTATGCCCACCCTGGTTTCCACATTAACAACATGTTCATCATGCTGTCTGTGCAAATGTTCATGATCGTTCTTGTCAACCTCGGTGCCTTGAGACATGAGACCATCACCTGCAAGTACAACTCCGACCTGCCGATCACCGACCCTCTCCGTCCCACGTACTGCGCTGACCTGACGCCTATCACCAACTGGGTCAACCGCTGTGTTATCTCCATCTTCATTGTCTTCTTCATCTCCTTCGTTCCCCTGGCTGTCCAAGAATTGACTGAGAGAGGTGTGTGGCGCATGGCGACACGTCTTGCGAAGCACTTTGGATCCTTCTCTTTCATGTTCGAGGTGTTCGTCTGTCAGATCTATGCCAATGCTGTCCACCAGAACTTGTCTTTCGGTGGTGCACGTTATATCGGTACTGGCCGTGGTTTCGCAACGGCTCGTATTCCTTTCGGTGTCCTCTACTCGCGTTTCGCTGGTCCCTCCATCTACGCTGGTTCTCGTCAGCTTCTGATGCTGCTGTTCGCGACCTCCACCGTCTGGACTGCCGCTCTGATTTGGTTCTGGGTTTCACTGTTGGCTCTGGTCATCGCTCCCTTCTTGTTCAACCCTCACCAGTTCGCTTGGCACGATTTCTTCATCGACTACCGCGATTACATCCGCTGGCTGTCTCGTGGTAACTCTCGCTCACATGCTTCTTCCTGGATTGCCTTCTGTCGCTTGTCTCGTACCCGCATTACTGGTTACAAGCGCAAGCTTCTGGGTGTTCCTTCGGAGAAGGGATCTGGTGATGTCCCTAGAGCTCGTATCTCGAACATTTTCTTCAGTGAAATTATCGCCCCTCTGGTGGTCGTTGGTGTTACCCTTGTGCCATACCTGTACATCAACTCGAGAACTGGTATCTCGAACGACAACAACCATGCTTCCAACGCGATCGTCCGTATCGCCATCGTTGCCTTCGGTCCGATTGCCATCAACGCCGGTGTTGCGGGTATGTTCTTCGGTATGGCTTGTTGTATGGGTCCCATCTTCAGCATGTGCTGCAAGAAGTTCGGTGCTGTCTTGGCTGCCATTGCTCACGCCATTGCCGTGATTGTCCTCCTGGCTATCTTTGAGGTCATGTTCTTCCTCGAGTCTTGGTCTTGGCCTAGATGTGTGATGGGCATGATTGCCATGGCTGCCATCCAACGGTTTATCTACAAGCTCATTATCTCGCTTGCTCTTACTAGAGAATTCAAGAATGACCAGTCCAACATCGCCTGGTGGACGGGTAAGTGGTACAGCATGGGCTGGCACACTCTTTCCCAGCCTGGTCGCGAGTTCCTGTGTAAGATCACGGAATTGGGCTACTTCTCCGCCGACTTCGTCCTGGGTCACATTCTCCTGTTTGTCATGTTGCCTGCTCTTTGCATGCCTTACGTTGACAAGTTCCACTCGGTCATTCTCTTCTGGCTGCGCCCGAGTCGGCAGATTCGTCCTCCCATCTATTCCCTGAAGCAGTCCAAGCTTCGCAAGCGGAGAGTCGTTCGTTTCGCTATCCTGTATTTCACGATGCTGGTTATCTTCCTTATCCTTATCATCGCCCCTCTCGTGGCTCGCAACCAGAACATCAGCCTGGGTTCGAGTCTCCCCATGAACATCATGCAGCCCCTCGACAAGGACAACAATGACACGATTGCCAGTTACACTGGAAGAGGTCTCCCCGTCGGCTACTCCGGCTGGACTCCTACCAACCCGGCTGCCACCGCCACGTCGAGCTAGTGAGGGGTCTGTTGGCACGTTGATTTCGTCTTATCTTTTTCTCTACCTTCTCTCATTTTTTTGCGAAAATGGAACATGGAAACGAGCTGTATAAAGTATTCAGCGCCTGGAGGACGCTGCCGAGTCGCATACATTTGCCTTTGTTTTATTCTCATTGCTTCTTGAATGACACTCTTCGCCCATGCTCCTTTCTGTCGTCAACATTAATGGATCCAATATCTGTCAATTGAATTCTGTATTCTCGAGGTGTTTTCCAGTCCTTTATGTGTGTTCATTAGACTTGCAAGTTTCATTTTGTTGTCCACTATTCATTTTATCTTTGGTATTATTGGACCTTTTCTCGTAAATGATGCTAGCTAGCTAGCAAGGAACAGCGTAAATGTAGTATCTTGTAGGGGTTGCTCAATTACGTAGTCAAATTGGCTGATTTTACTGGTTCTTTGAGATAGGGGCTTCCTGTTGCATCAGTCTGGATTTAGTGAGCGTCTAGAAACGATGTCACATGACCACTAGGCCCGGACTTACAGGATGGCTGCCTGCAAGGAGCAGAGGAAGTCACGTGCATGCGGCCTGCGTTGCCCGGAAGTTGGGAAGTGCCGCGTCGTTTCGACTCTCTGACCAAAGCTCCTCCTTTACAGATCTCACACCTTTGATTCCAATGCCATCCGTTCGACTGTAGATTGCTGTTGTCGTCTTTCTTTCAGTTCTGGGATTTCCCCACTGACAGCGTCTTTGTTCAGCGCCACGAGCGCCTCGCCAATCTCAAGACCATGGATATCCAGGAGACACAGCGGCTTCTCACGGAGTATCTCCATGAGCTCGCTGCTTTGTTCCATCGGGTTCCCGGCTCTGCGATCTTTCTCCGCTATGTGAAGTCCAGCTACCAGAACGATCCGATCCGCTCGGCCGTGGAGCTTTTCTTGTTCCTGTTCGCCGTTCGCTATCTTCTTGCGCCGAAGTATTCGACCAAGCCCGGCGTCGTCCAACTCTCGGAAGATGAGATTGATGATCTGGTCGACGAATGGACTCCGGAGCCGCTGGTCGGGAAGCCGACTCCCCTGGAGGCCATGGAAGTGGACAAGCGTACTGTCATCGTTGGGTAAGACCTATTTCCTCGACTTCCCCACCCCAATGGGTTGGTCCACTGGTCCATCTGCTGACGCGAACGCGCCCGGGCCCTCTCCAGCCCCGTAGGCCCGAAATCCAAGCTCGCCAACGGCCGGACGGTCATGAACCTGGGCTCCTACAATTTCTACAACTTCAACACGAACGAATCTCTCAAGGAGAAGGCGATCCAGACGCTCCGCAACTACGGAGTCGGACCCTGTGGCCCGCGAGGCTTCTACGGTACCCAGGACGTGCACATGAAAACCGAAGCCGACGTCGCCTCCTTCCTCGGCACCGCATCCTGCATCATCTACGCCCAGGCCTTCTCGACCATCTCCAGTGTGATCCCGGCTTTCTCGAAGCGCGGGGACATCATCGTAGCCGACAAGGGGGTCAGCTTTGCGATCCGCAAGGGCATCCAGATTTCGCGTAGTATTGTCCGGTGGTACGAGCACAATGACATGGAGGATTTGGAACGGGTCCTGGCCAAGGTGACCAAGGAGCAGGCGCGGAAGCCGCTCACCCGACGGTTCATCATCACCGAAGGTCTGTTCGAGTCGTATGGTGATATGGTTGACTTGCCTAAAATTGTATGTGCTTTCTCGGCCGAGCTGTGGTTGTCTGGGGGTCTTGCTTACTGACTTGGCGCTTTCTTTTGAAGATCGAGCTGAAATTGAAGTACAAATTCCGCCTCATCCTCGACGAGACCTGGTCGTTTGGTGTTCTCGGACGCACCGGTCGTGGTGTGACGGAGCATCAGAACGTTGACGCGGCAGAAGTCGACATGATTGTGGGATCGCTGGCCGGTCCATTGATTGCTGGTGGAGGCTTCTGCGCGGGATCGGAGGAGATTGTGCACCACCAGCGGATCTCCGCGGCGGCCTACACGTTCTCGGCCGCGTTGCCTGCTCTGCTGTCGACCACCGCGAGTGCCACGATCAATATGCTGCAAAATAGCCCCGAGACGGTGACGCAGCTGCGGGAACACACCAAGGCCATGTGGGCGCAGTTGGACCCTCGCAGCGATTGGGTGTACTGCACCAGTGCCCCGGAGAATCCCATGATGATTCTGGTTCTCAAGCCCGAGGTGGTCCACGCGAAGAAGCTTTCCGAGGATGATCAACAATTCTTGCTGCAGGATATCGTTGACGAGGTAGGTGTTGTATGTCTATGTCTTTTCGTCTGACCACGATGCTGACTTTGGGTGCTACCAGTGTCTTGCCAACGGCGTCCTTATCAGCCGCCTCAAGACTCTCCAGGACAACTTCGAGCCGAAGCAGGTGGTGGCGCCTGCTTTGAAGGTCTGTGTGACGATCGGCTTGACGCGAAAAGAGATCGAGAAGGCGGGGACGATCATCCGTCACGCAATTACGAAAGTCCTGAGCAAGAGGAAGTGAATCGTTTTTGTCTGTTTCTCCGGCTGTCGTAGGGACCTGGCCATGACGTTTAATGCTTCCATGATACGCCCTCTGTCCTTTCATCATCATATTCTGCCCCAGCCTCATTATTTCCGGCCCTGTTGATAAACCCACTGTCGAAGCACAATTCCTGTACAGCATATTGCACCTAGATGCTAGGTGAAACGCTCCTGCACATGTCTTAATGGACGGTCGACTCGCATCATTTGTACTGGGTGGTGATCGTCTTTGTTTCCTCCTACTTCTTTGGCTACATTGGTACCGTGGATATTATTAGAGACCATATTATTTAATACCACTTTTTCTTCTTTTCTTGGGGGTTTTCGGGCATGGGTGGATGATGCAATTATAGGGAGATCCAAGGGGTAAGTAATTGTGGCTTGACAATCCAGGATAGGGCGGGGGGAGCCTTGATTATAAGGGGTTTGAAGTTTTGACATTCCGGGGATCGGTCGGTGGGCGAAGGGCTCAAGGTAGGAGTTATCCTGTACATTCCATAGGGAGAAATGCTCATTCTTGTATAGTGAATTTCATGGTGCCCCTGTTTCAGGAGGCAGCCCTGGTCAGGCACAGTCATCTAGCTTTCCTTTTTCTTTTTATCTTCTGACTGCCAACTCAATGCACCATCTACAGTGACAGCGGCGGACGACCAACACTGTGCAGGATGCAGTGGACGTGCAGTTGCATTTCCCATGGCCCCATCCTGTTGCTGCTAGCGTTGCTGCTCCTCCTCAACAGCAACACCGTCCCCGCTCATCCACTCCGCCGCCGCCGCAGCAGCAGCAGCAGTCCCAGCAACAACAACAACAACGACAACTGGCTCCCCAACCCTTTGAGTCTGGGTCAAGATGCCACCGCAGCCCTAACCTGGCTCGACCAAAGCGCCAACCAACTCAGCAACAGCGTAGTCCACGGCCTCAACTCCGCCCTCCCTCCTGATCCCAACTTTCCCCAATCCCCCCCATCCCCCTCAAAACCCCCCTCAACCACATCACCCGCCACACCCGACAAGGACTACGGCATCGCCTACTCCCCCTACACCGCGGAGGGAACCTGCAAACCCGCCACGCAAATCACCCACGACCTCGCCCAGCTCTCCGGCTACGCCTTCGTCCGCATCTACGGCACCGACTGCGACCAAACCCGCCTCGTCCTGTCCGCCGCCCGGGGATTCGGCCTCCGCGTTTTCGCCGGCCTCTTCGACCTCCGCCACTTCTCCGAGGATCTGGGCACCATCATCGAAGCCGTCGCCGACAACAGCGGGGACTGGGGCAGTATCCACAGCATCGCGATCGGGAATGAACTCCTCAACAGCGGCCAGAATACCGCCGCCGAGGTGGTGGGCGCGGTGCAGGCGGCGCGCGCGACGCTCCGCGGGGCTGGGTACGATGGTCCCGTCGTGGCCGTCGATACGGTCGCGGCGCATTTGGCCAATCCGGGGGTGTGTGCGGTTAGTGATTATTGCGCGGCGAATTGTCATGCGTTTTTTGACGATGAAGTTGAGGCGGGGGGCGCGGGGGGGTTTGTGAGGGGGCAGGTGGGGAAGTTACTGGAGATGATGGAGGGGGATGGGGGGGCTGAGATTGAGGATGGGGCTGGTGGTGGTGGTCAGGGAAAGGGCAAAGGAAAGAAGGTGGTTATCACGGAAAGCGGATGGCCGCATGCTGGCCAGGCGAATGGGAAGGCCGTGCCCTCGTTGGAGAATCAGCGCGCTGCGGTGCGGAGTTTGAGGGAGGCGTTTGCGCGGTCTGGTCCTGGAGCTGGAGCTGATGCTGGAGATGGGGCTGGAGCTGATGCTGATGCTGATGCTGATGCTGATGCTGATGCTGATGAGTACCCAAAGAATGGGGAGGATGGCGAGGTAGGGCTGGTGCTGTTCTCCTCGTTCGATGACCTCTGGAAGGTGGATAATGGCTATACCTTTGGGGCGGAGAAGTTCTGGGGGATTCTGGGGCATTAGCTCCCCCTGTTGGTCTTCATGCTTGTTTCAGGGGATGAGGAAGGAAGGGTGATATCATGCTGGGTTTCATGATAAGTTCGTGTTTCTGGTTCTTGCTTTGGTGTTTAGGGCTTGGTGTTTTCTCTGGTGTGTATGATATGATTATGGTTGGGTACTTGTGGAAGTCATGAGGAATGAGGACTGTATGTACTACTTGATGTCTATCTCAAGTTTCTTCGCTTGAAGGATTGGGTTCTACGTGTCGTGGTCAAATCTGCGGGACATATCTTGTGCCTGTCATGCTTGGAGGTGAGAGAAACGTCCGTTTATCCAAGTTGTAATGTGAGAAGGTACAGTACAGTACACATGTTTCGCACAAATACCAATACCGTAAACATCCCCTGCCCGGTGGAGTATACGGTACCATACGACCTCATCAAAAACGAATGGATCCCGCTGACGACGCAGTGGAACTCGGCTTCCATCAGATGGGGCAGGCAATCCCATGTTGCTTCAGGACCAGACTGTTTTTCCGCAGTGGACAGTGCTTGATCGTTCGTATTACTCTCTAGTCTAGAAGACTTACTCTCTAGTCTAGAAGACTATAGATGCCGATTCTAACACCGACGTGAGCAGGTTAAGGTGAAGTGCACATGCTGAAAAGCTCCACTACGTAATAGCTCATAGACAAATTAAACCTTAGAACGCGCCGATATGCCAATGCAAGATCATTCTCAAAAACAAATTTCAATTAAAAAAGATGGGAGAGGGTCACTCCCCCACAGACATGTTCTGCACCGCCTCCTCGACACTGACCGGACCACCGGACTTGATCCCTAAGAATGTGGGCGGCCCAACAGCTTGTTCCTGCTCATCGCACGCATACCCCTCGCTCAGATGAGTCGAGCCTTCATGCTCGGCAGGGGACTCCGGTCGATGCGAGGAATCCCCCGGAGTGAGTCTTCCCCGTCCCGAGCGACGGGCTCGGGGAGGTTCGGGTTTATGCCCATGTTTGAGATTGGAAACCATACTGACCAAGCTGCTCCCACTCCCCGGAGCGCTCACACTATTATGATGGAGCTGGGGAACGACTCGCGAGGGACTGGTGAGCGGTGTGCAGTGGCTGGAAACCGAGAGAGTGGCCATGCCAGGGACAGTGGGATGGGTCGACCGTCGCGGCGGAGGGACCGCCGGCGGGGGGTTGGAGGCGGACCGACGCGGGGCCCGAGGAATGGGCACTGCTAGGCTTGATGTGCTGGTGGAATTCCGCCGATCGCCCGCTCCGCTGGCGACAGGCGGGGGTAACGGACTCGTAGTCTGAATCTCCCGGTCCTCCGGAATTCTGTCCACGTGCTCATCATCTTCGGCCCTAGGACGGCCTCTCCAGCGCCGAGGATTCGGGGGAAGCGGTTTGGTTTTCACCCTGCTCGCCGACGGACTGAAAGGACGGTCCAAGTGAATATTGTTTCGGCTCGGCGTGATCACGCCCGGTTTCTCGTGCTGCGATGCCACCTCCTGCACACTAAGCGACGATGACGAGGCCGGCTCGAGGTGCATCCCTAATCTCTGCGCCTGACTCAACTTACGATGCGCGTTCAGCTTAGCAGAGCCCGTGCCAGCTTCATCATCGGCACGGGTTGGAGACAGATTCTCCGACGAGCTATCCACGGTACTCGTCGGGGAGAGTGTCTCGGACAACTCCAGCGGTGCACCAAACTCGCCCTCAGGCGACTCGTCGTCATTGCCATCGGAGGTTTTGAGGGGTGGCACCGCAGCCTTCTGAACCTCCGTCGACTCTTCCTCGCGGATCCAGTCGACGGCTGCGCATCGGAGAACCAGTCTTCTAGTTGTTTCATCTGCCTCGTTAAAATGCATGATTCTCTCTTGGTCAGCCTCGCTATGAAAGAGTTGACCATTGACCAAGATACTGAGCATCCGCTTGATGTCGTCACGTTTATAGTAAGGCGGCAGTCTCAGCTGCGTATGAGCGAGCAACGGATAAAGAACCCGGAGGTAGGTGTGTCGAAGGGCGGACGACTCTTCCGGCAGGTCCAGCAAGTTTCGGATCAAAATGTCGACCAGGACATGCAGATCGTTCGTGTAGAAGTATTCGTAGGTGCTCGGAGTGGTGAAGATCAGGTATAGAAGCTTAAGTGTCAGGAGCTGGAGGGACGTTTCGCCTGCAGCATGTTAGAGCAATGGTCCGCACCCCACAACAAACACCACATACCTTCTCGATTGATTAGGAGGATTATATTCTCACCAAAGGTCTTGTACATATTTCCATACATGGACAAAACCTTGATGACTTTGTTGGTTAGGAAATTCATGGGTGACTGCTCGTCAACGGGGTCGTGCGCCGAGATCATGAATTGCTCGTTCAGAACCAGCTGCCCGACAGTCATTAGCGATTTGCTTCCCATCTTTGGACGCGACACTCACCAGAACGCGAATGACTGGATAATGATAAGGGTCGTTGACATCGTACGAGAGATCCTCGATGATGTCAAAGAGACCCCGAACAAAATCGTCGTCCACAAGAACTGCCATGCATACATACAGGGTCAATGATTCCGAACCGAGGCATGTTTTGGGAAAAGAAACACCGGCTCAAACCCACCCAGATCCTCAATTTTCACCCGCTGTATCCGCGACATCTCATACATCAAGTCCATGAGAAGCCGATGCAGGCCCGCCGGCATGCTCTCATCCGCCGAACGGTTGCGGACCTGCAGCAGTTCCAGCAACCGCGGAAACGAACCCTCCTCGTTCATCATCCGAAAAGCCTCTTCATGCTGGCGACCGTCGAAAAGCAAGAGCGAGGCAATGAGATGAAGTGTAGCCGGGTCGTCGTCCTGAAAAAGAATTATGCCCCATGTCAGACGTCGTCACACACTCCCTCCCACACAAAGTAGACGGGACGCAATGTGCGAACTCCTCGGGGCGTACCTGCAACAAACAATAGATCATCTGTCGTCGAACATAGTCCGCATGCGATGCAAAGATGCTGGATGCCAGGAGCTTGTACAAGCACCGGGTAACATCCAACTCGCCCTGAAGGTATTCATCTGTCGGTTGTCCTGCGTCAGCTGGACTGCATCCGTTCGTTTCGGACGATAGCCTGAGAGAAACCTTTATACTTCGTAGCCAGGCTCAGATATGATCGAAGCGCATTGTCGATATGGTCTTCCGAGGAGCAAGAGGCGGAAACGATCTCTTGGATTTCTGCGGACAAGGTTGCGCAACAAAATTAGTTCCGAATGAATCGAAATAGCGACTAGAGGGGTTTCGCAGTATATTCTGAGCACGATCGGGCGAGAAAGAAACAGACCGGTAGTACTCACCGTCCCAGAATTGCTGCTCGTTCTCCAGGGTGACCTCAAACTCCATTTCCCACAGCTCAGTCGTCCTCGTCGGGCGTGGCGTGTCCCTGCACTCATCCCGTCTTGCGCCCGCAGCGAGGGAGTCGGATAAGGCGCTGCTCCAGCCAGGACAGGGAGCACGAATGAGCGGAAGGAGGAGTGGATAGAAGGTGGGGAGAGGGGAGGAGAAGAGAGGAGAGGAGAAGAGGTTGGGTGTAGAGACGAGGAGAGGAGCAGAGGAGCAGAGGAGGAGTTGGAGCGGAGAGGGAACGCTGTCAATAATCAATTGAGAAGGCGGGCGGGCGGGACGTCATCCCTTCGCTTCGCTTGTCCCCGCCTCTCCTCATGGCCCCATCGTTGGTACTCTACGATCCATCATCTACTGATTCACTTAACTTATCTCTGATGACCTGATTACAGCCGCTAGAAACAGCAAAGAGCCTACATCAATTTCCCTTTCCTCCCTTTTAAAAAGACAGTGACATGCCTACCACTCCATTATCTACTTGATCCCGTACAATAGTACCACTATACAACACATCATGATCCACAACAGCAGCAGCAGCAGCAGCAGTATAGCGACATCATTAGCACCATTCACCATATATGAACCTCTTATTTCCAAAGCCAGCTAAGAAATAACGGAGCCCATCCCACAAGAAAAGCGAAGGGGGACAAAACAGAAATAGGGAGGGCGAATGCATTAATCAACAACTCGTGGACTAGACCGTGGTATCTGTACTTTTACAAGCAAAAGCAGCAATGAAGGGAAGCAGAGAGCAAGAACGGGGGAGAATTAAGAATCAAGCAAGACGAATGCAAAATGCACATGCATACAAAGCCATTATTAGTTCGGGCGCCTCAAAGGATGCGCTTCGGTATTCCTGCGGTGTGTCCGTTAGCCAGGGCACTTGATGGGGTTCACAACAGGAGGGAAGACTTACAGTACATAGTCGTCAAGACTAACGACGGTCGGATCACTGAAAAGAAGGTAGAAGTACTTCAGCGTCTCCGCGAGCCAGAATGACTGCATCTCGTCCAACATCTCGGGAGTTGTGACGGTGACGTCGTCGATTGCTGAGTTGGCGAACTCGGTCCGAGTGTACTTCGAGACAGCTTGAAACATCTCCCAACCCTTCTTCCGCCACGACTCGTCGCCAGTCAGACGGTACATGATGAATACCGACTCGATAGCCTCAGGTCGCAGCAAATACTTGCGATTGATGAGCTTCGTCACCCCGGGAGGAAGGCGCTCATTACTGATACGTGTCGCCACGTACTCCTCGTGCGAGGGCACCTTCTCTTCTTCCTCTTCAGGAGGCTGCTCGGGTTCCGGCTTTTTCGGTGTGGCCTCGTCTTCCAGACCAATGACATGCCAGTTACCGCGCTCGCGCTTCCCCAGCAGAGTCTTCTTTTTCTTCAAGTCAGCTACCTCAGCCTCGGCTTGCATTGCAGCCGCTGCCTCCTCCTTCTCCTTCTGCTCTTTCCGCTCCTGCGCCTTGGCAAAACGCTCCAGCATGTCAGGATCCAAAGCGGTGTGATAGGTCGACTCGTCCCATTCACAAGGCTGGCCTTTTTTGCACGGAACCAGGGAGAATTCTTCGGGCATGATACCACTCTTGGTAGATTGGTACGCCCACACACAGCCGTCAGTCAATTGCTTAGCCAGGTCCATATCTCCTTCCAAGCCGAAGATTTTGGCTCCAATGCCAACCATTCCACCAAGAAAGCATGACAGATGATCCCCTTTGTATTCCATGACCGTGGGGCCTGGCTTATTCTTGGGGATGATCGCTGTGCTCAGAAAGCGGACGTCCCAGCCGCCCTTGATCATAGGCTGGAAGACCAGATGTTGACGGATTGTGTTCATAGCCTTCTCGTACATGGACCGGTACTGATCATTAAGACCGCCCAAAAGCATATACTCCTTGGGCAAATACTCATATGTAGAGTCGGCAAGAGCTCCAAGGCTGTACTTCTCTTTGTCAATGGTAGCTGTGTCCAAACCCCCGGTGCACTGCGCTTCGGGGGCGCTCAGAGCTGCGCTACCGGGACCTTGCGCCACAGCGCCAGGGTACTCTGCAAGCTGAGCATCTTCGTGAAGAGACCGCGCATCGCGGGGTTTGAAGTAGTCCTGGTAGCTCTTCGCGTCGGTCGGGGCCGGCTTGGTAGGATGCGGCTTGGAGGAATGAGCACTCGTGGTAGTCACAGGGAGCCGGTCGCGCGCATACTCCTGCTCGAGGCGAGCTTTGGTGAGTTCCTTAGTATTGGCATTGATATTGGCATTGGCATTGGCATTGGCGTTCTTGCGGCACCCCGAGGCGTCCAACTTCACGGGCCACAAACCGGGATATTGGGTTTGATCTTGAAGCTTCTCTAACTCGTTGGTGATGCGCGCAATAGCATCATAATACTTGTTCTCTTTGGTCAGCTGCGCCAGACGTGTGAATTCCACTGAGAGCGAGCCGAGTTCGGCTAGAATGGCCTTCTTATCGGCGTGATGGGGTCTGGTCAAGTGAGATCTGTAACATGTACTTGTTAGGGGTTATGCAATTACCCGAGGACGGACGAGATTGACTTACGGGGTCCACTTGTACATAAGCGAAGGCATGCGGTTGGGGGTGTCGAAGGCTCCCATCAGAATCTCGGCCAGTTCCACAGCTTTCGCCAACAGGACATCATATTTGTGACCCGAAACATCGTAAGCACTAATCAACCCACCCAGGTAGCGAATGACAGTTTCAAAGAGGGGAGTTTCGTTCCTCTTGGAGGTGGTAGTGAAGTCAATCGTCTTGACATAGTCGACTGCTATGGAGAACTCCTCTTTCAAATCCATCAACCAGAGAGTATCCAACGAATCCACCAGCGTAGCACCCCAGCCATTGAACGGATCTCGAAATCCACCCCGCAGAGGCTTAATCTCATCGTGTCCCATGGCGGAGGTCTTGTACCCAGTCCAGGCGCGCTCAAAGACCTCCTTGATTTCCGACAAGCGTTCGAGGCGTGTCATTTTATTGGCCGAGGTTTCGTCTTTGAAATCCGCCTGTAGCTTCGGGATCGGCCTGGGTTGACCTGATGGCAACTGGATCATGTCCTCGCTCCGAATCGGAAAGAGCTCGGGCAGCTTCTGCCAATGTGGGCGTGTCCATGTTGCGGCGGGTGTTTCGACTCCCAATTTGCCTTGACCCTTGACTGGAGCTCCAAGTCCAGTGGTTTTCCGATTGTCCCCGTCCTTCTCGGTGGCAGGCTCCTCGGATGGCTGGGGGGATTCGGCTGAGGTCGAGGGGGGACCCTCTACGGCCACATCAGGTGGAATGTTCTTGGATTCTTCGGTAGAGAATGGCTCGGGGTTGTAGTCATGGGCGGACGGAGGAGAGGCCGGAGATTGAGGGGCGGCTTGCTCAGGAACGGTGGGTGGGTTCGGGGCTGAGGCCCCCGGTCGACGATCGGCGGGCGGCGATGCACGCCAACTAGCAGAGGATTGTTCTCGTGAACCGGCGAAATGAACAAGAGCCAGAACAAAGATGGCCGCGAATACCAGGAGAACCCGGTATCGCCGGGCTCGGAACATCATCGAAGAAGGTGATCGATAGGGAGGGATGAAGGTACGAGGCAGCACGAAGATGCCCCGGAACGAGGGAGGGGCGAGGGGGGAGGGGGAGGGGGAGGGAATCCTCAAAGTGAGGAACGAAAGGTGAAAGAGTAAACGGAAACGAATGAATAGAAAAGAGAGAGATTGAAAAAAGTAGGAACCCCCAAAATGAGATGGTCAGAGAGACTAAAGAAAGAAGAAAGAGGGGGAAATACGAGCAGAAAGATCACGCGGTTCCCGGGGGAGAAAGGAAAAATGTCTTGGACCTGCAGGAGGTAGAACTCCGCGTGAGAAAAGAGTGAAGAGTGAGAGTGAAGCAGAAGACGATTTAGAAGATGCTGGTAATGGGGATACTAGTCAAGAATTACTAGTCCCAAGGATCACAAACAGGGTTGAAGAAAATGATATGATGTGTAGGGTGGTAATCGCAAACGACAGACAAGAGTCAACATGAAGAGACTCCCGGAGGAAAGAAGGAATGAGTGGAGGTTGGTGAATGAATCGATCGGTCAAACCATCAAACAATCTCTTTAGAGAAACGACTGACAGAAGAAATGGGAGGGGGGGAATAGTGAAAGAATGGAGGACAGTGAAGCCTCTATTCAAACATGATTAGTAGTAAGTAGGTAGTATTGAGTTTGAAAGGTGGGAGAGAAGGGAAAGAGAAGATGAGACAATCTGAAGGAAACCACCAAGACCAGTGACCACTACAAACAGCAGTCAATTCTGTTCTTAGATTAGTTTAGTAGTTAGTTCGGTAGTTTCTGAGTAAGTTTTAATCAATCATAAGTGGTATGAGTACTCATAACAGAGGGCCAAGAGAATGGACAACAAACCCGATCAGGAGTAGGAGAAGAGAGGAACGGGAAGGAAACACAGACAGCCCAGCCTAGTGGAGGGCGATAAGTGTACAGTACAATCCCAAAGAGGAAGAGGGCGGAGGTCGGAGCAAGCCTGAAAAAAAGGACCGCAGGGCCAGACCATTGGGAAGGCGGTTAATTCGCTGGCCTCACGCACTGGCTCAATGCATTCTCCAGCCTACGGTGGAACCGCCGTGGAGAAAGCACCCACTTGGGTGTCGCAAGACTCCCGACCTGTGGAAATAATCTAACGATTATTTAATATTTAATTAAATATTCCTGACCTAGTCCAACTACCGTAGACTACCGTAGACTACCGTAGACTACGGAGTACACAGGAATTCTGCAGTTTCTGATTGATCCCGGATATGAAATCTTCGAGGCACTTCCCACCTCTCGTAATGCCAACCCGGATCAGTCCGGCTCTTAGGGCAAGGATCAAGAACTACTCCGACTTGATGCAGTCGAACCGGGAATTGTCTAAACATCGATAGTTCATGCTTCTTCAGCATGGAAAGAAGGTTAAATAAGAACCAGCTGAGGCTAGAGAAGAGGAGGGGAGAGACAGACACAGACACAGACACAGACACAGAGAGCAGGCCGAGACGAACCCCGGATTCGCGAGAAGGAGGATCAGCTAGTCGGATGGACCTGATAGAATGCGCCATCGATGGATCCAGACTTCCCAATGGAGTCCAGAGGAATTGATCATACTTCTACCCCGTACTACGTACTGATAATACATGTACATAGTAACGATTATCCCGGCTTTGCCTTAACCGTCTTCCATGGTTATGCTACCGTACTGTTTATT